GAACATGATCTGTTTGCAAGTGTACTGACAACCTGGAAATACATCAGGATGTACGTTACAACACTCTGAGGCTCTGCTTCAGCCAAGGGAATGACAAAGTTGCAGGAAAAAAACAGCTTTCACAACTATTTAGGTTATTTTAATCATCTTATTTACAGGAGGAAGTCAGAGTTTTGCCACTTCAAGAGTTTTCACCACTGTTTGCACAAAACTGATTCAGGCCCTAAACCTAGCTTTGAAGAGAGTAAGCTATTCTCAAAAAAAAAAAAGGTTTTGGATGGTCTGTACTTTTTAAACAATTTTTTCTTTAGGCAAACTTGATTTCTCATTATGTATGATTAAAAATGAGTAAACGCAAAGAGCAGACATCTCAGATCTTCCCAGATTGGGCTGGCAGCCATGTCCCCAGCAATCAACCCAATGCCCGCCCTGAGCAGCAGAGCATGATGTGGAGGCATCCAGTCCAGGCGCTATATAAACTCATATCCCTGTAACACATACCATTTCCTGCTAGGGTTTGAAAATAGTTCGGTCACAGCTGTAAAATGCTAACACATACGAACAAGCCTTGCCCAGCACACAACATTTTGCTGCGGTGCTTCTGGCTCCAGCGCTATCCCAGCTCCCGCAGGGACCGCTGCCCTGCGCCGCACTACGGTGCTCCCGCCCGGGGCTAGACAGCACAGGACGGACGTCCACCGAAACGAGGGGACGTGACAGTGACACGCTATGTCCGTTCTGCAAAACGCAGCGTAAGGCAGAGACGCTCGAGCTAACTTTAAATGAGGTGGTTAAACGAGTACTGAGAGAAGTCTAGCCGTGACAGCAGCTTTCATTGTGGGTTACTTTGTTCTGCCTTCCTGGTGGGCCAGATATATGCTTATGAATATTAACTCTTAAAACTAGATCAAGAATGTAAACAGCAAGCAGAACATATTCATGGCCTGCTGTTTTCCCTTTCTTGCTCCCAGCATGCTACAGTATATACCAAAATGCAGCTGCATGGGAAGAAAAAACAGGACAATTTTCAGATACTATGTGCAATGCATTTGCAATTTCAGTATCCTGGAGACCACCTCTCTGTTTAACGCATACACACATTTTCAGGGAGGCAGATGGCCTTGCAGATAAGGGCACTGGTGTCAGAAAACCTGAGTTTGATTCCTGACACTCACTAGACCCGTTCTGAAAAGTCACGTCATACTATTGCCTCCCCCTTTACTTTTTCCGCCTTATCTCATATATTTGTGATGTTTCTATTCCACTCAGTGTTGATTTGTTCTTCAGGACATAATAACATAAGATCACCAAGGAAATAATCAAAGGTAAAGGAAGCAGCTCCAATACAACAGGCCACTGAGACCAGGATTTTCTTTTCAAGGAGTCTCTGCATGGAGTTTTGTGGCTTTAGGTTTATAGCAGTAAAATATTCTCAGTATGACAATCTGTTAACGTGAGTGAATACAGAATGGCTAACAAATATAATTTTCTGCACTATGTAAGAAAGACTCATTAGCCTTGAACCAGTGCCTCTTCCTTACTCTGCACTTACCAATGAATATACCATATGACCAGTCCAACCGTATGCTCATTCTCTGTGTAGTCTAGGTGAATGGGTAACAAAAATTATGTATTTGGTCCAAGTCAGTAGCTAATTCTAGTGCAGAAGCCATGGAACCATGCTCAGGTTAAAATACGTATCCTGCCTCTCTGTAGACTTTGTAATTTTAGGTACAACACCATACTAATAAAACTGAACGGTTTCCAGTTTAGAAACAGCTCGCATCTGGCCAACCCGGAAACTGCTTGCACCCCTGTGCATACACAAACTCTTCATCTGAGAGGATCTTGAATAAACCATTAGAAGTGCACAAGCTGTGAAAAACTGGTAGCTGGTTCAAAACGATCAACAGGCCCCTGTCTGCAGAACGCTGGGGTAAGTATTTCAGAAAGCCTTAAACACACAACTTACAAAGTGCATGATATAATCCTAAACAGAACTTGCGGCGGGGCTTCCATGAGAGGGAAACATCAGAGGTGGTGTTCTGGGCCGCTGCAGTTCACTTGCCTATACCTGTACTGGAGCTTATGCCGGTGCACAGAAAACGTGACCATTTCCCAGCGGAATTCTCCATAGCTTTTGAGCATGCAGACTCTACTGCCCCCGATTTCTGTGTGCCCACTGAAGCGCTGTACATTTACTTGGAAAATAAAGTCACATATGAAACTATCAAGTAATTATGTAGTTTCCTGAAATAAAGGAAGTTGCTTTGCAGTGGGTAAAGGCTTTTGAAAGCTGCCAAATTGCTAATACTTTTGTGGAGGGTAGAGGAGGAACTCGAATTATTGGGCTAATGGAAAAAAAAAAAGTACTGCAAATCCTGCAAGCATTCCCCCCCCCCTTTTTTTTTAAATAAGAACAAAGTTTTATTTTGCAAAGATAGGCAATGATGCATTGCATCAGATATGTTAGCATAACCTTTTTGATTAGGAAGTCAGCCTAGATAATAGAAGGCATTAGGGTATCAACCTTGCACTAAAGATTTTAAAAGGCACACACCTGCCAACTAAGGATTTTCATAAAGCTAGCTATTCTGTTTAGGTGGAAATGAAAGACTAAACAATATTGCACAAAACAGTGATGCGTTTAATGGGATATTTCAGTAGTACAAATGTTTACAAAGGCAGATGCAACTCCAGGATTTGTTTTTTTGTGGACAATTCTATCCGCTTTCAAATACCCCAAAGACAACTACTCACCACTTATTAACAGTATAATTAGATGGATATGAGTCTTATTTAGAGGATTTACATAATAAAAAGTCTTTGCACAGGTTCTAGGTATTCCGGACTTTTATTTTTTAAATGTAGTTTGGAGTTCTCAAAAGTGGTTTGGGTATTGCAGGGAATTTGAGATATTCTGTCAGATGCCTGGGCTTGTGGTGGGAATCCAACAATCTTAAAATTTGTCCTGCTGGGTTTTCAAAATCACTAGGTAATTTAGGCTCTTAGACACTAATCATAACGTCAAAACAAATCCCAAAGCACACTCAACACTGACTAGCAAGCGCCTGAAAATTATTCCTTCCATAAAACCAAAGCTTACCCCACCTTTTCCTAGTGTTGCCCCTCCAGTAACAAACTCCTCCCTAAAAGACTGAGCAGTTAGTTCACAGCTACTAGGCAAAGTAATCTACAGAGCAAAGATGAAGTATAAAAGTCCTATCACCCTTACAGGAAAAAAATCAACCTCTAGGAGCCTTCTGCTCCTACCTTTTCCCCCTCTTGTATATATAGAAAAAGGTGTCCTGAAAGCCAAAATCAAACCTACAGGGAAAATTTTACAGATGGGTCATATCTGTAGAGGTGCGGTACAAAATGGAAAGACAGCGTCTCAAATAAGCATGCACCAAACGACATGGTGAAACCATGGTTTGTAATGTCGAGTCCTGGACACCACAGAATCAGACTGCTAATTGCTTTAAGTGTGCTAGAGAGGAGTTAGACGATTTCATTTCTTTAAGGCTCTTCTGTTTAGCAGCAACACATAGCAAGAAACTGGATCAAGCCAGACTACTGTCTGTAGACAGAAAAAATAACTATTGTTTGAAATAAAACACTGCTACCCTTCTTTCTGTCTTCTGGTCCTTGCTGTCAGCTAATGCAGCCACTGACTGGAGGTGACTGCAAAAGCAGACCGTAACCCGCCCTCCCTGAGAAAAAGGGAGCAGTAGGAAGCCATAGGAAAGACTTATAAAATGAAAAGTAGGACAGCAGATTAAAAAAAAGTCAGGAAAAATGAGAGAAAGTGTTTCTCTTTTCCTTTACAGCACAGCATTCACTTGTTTTCTGGTAACATCCAACCAGATTTATTGAGTGATAGCTCTCTTCAGAGACTTTGAAGGACAAGACAACGAATGTTCAGACCTCATACACTCTTTTAGTTGGTTATCAACTAAAGGCAGATCATTTTCTTGCTTACATCAGTATAAATCTGCAGTTACTACAATAAAGCGAAGATAGAAACAAATAAATTCAACATATGTGAGAAGCAGTTCTGGCCCTAAATGTAATTTGCTACGATTTCAGAACGTGTAAGTTATGAGCCACTTTTAGGATGAACGTTACTTAAGAGAAAAGACTTTGTATCCGCCCTGACCTATGCCAAATTCTATTAACTACCTAAACTGAAGAAAGGTACATAGATATGCAACGCTGTATGTTCTTTTCAAGAAAATCTTTTCTTCAAACATAAATCAACCAAATTCTTATTTTCGTATAAATTATTACCTCAATATTAGTTGATTTTATTGCTACTCACCACTGCAACTCTTTCACATCTAGTATGTTTTGTGAGATCAACCTCTGCAGCTAAATCTTCCTTTTTTAAAACTAAAAAAGGTCAAGTGACTTAAATTCACCAGTGGGGTAGTATAGTCAATTCAGAATTTTGAAGGCTCTTTGAAGAAGCAGTTTTTATAAACTAATTAATTATAAACGTAATTTTCCAACAGTACAAAGAAACTTAAAATGTTTCATTTTTTTCCAGTCCCACTGCAGTAAAAATCAAAGTTTGAGGAACTGTATGCAGAATCTGAGATGAAGGAGTGGCTTTAATGGATGGGAATTTTTTTTTCTTAAAGCTTTAAAGCACACAAAAACAAAAGTACTGCCTTATGAGATGAAACCAGACATAAATATTGTATTGAATAGGTTCATATAAGAGATCTAAATGTATTCTTTTTCAAATGCAATGGCAATTATTTTTTTTAAGTTGTAGTTCATACAGCACTCAGACATGACCACACGGAAGACATTTTAGCCCTGCATATTATGAGTCAGTCTTCTTGATCTAGGTTCTGACAACATTACAGACAATCGTATTCTAGTTTCTGAACTAGATGTTAGTTCTCCATTTTGCAAAGCTTTTAAATTGTTTCAATTCTACACAGAACGTTATGGGTTCAAAATTAGAAAACGAAATGTCAATTGCTACCTACCTTTGACAAAAGCATCCTGGTCCAGAAAGACAAAGCCAAACGCTAAGACTTTAAGCCACAAAAACATGGTTATTTCTGGAAATTAGGCGTATCCTTATGAAACGGCATGTGTGTGTCTCTCTCTCTAGAAAGCAAAATAAGTATTATCTCTCTGCAAAATAATTTCGAAGCGAAACTTGAATCAAAAAGGAGAATAACCGGGCACATACATTGCACTGCCTGCTTATCACAGTGAAAGAGCTGCTTCCTCTGTTACCCTAAACTAACCACTTGCAAACTCGCAATGCCATGTAGTGATGTCAGAGACAATTACTTCTTCAAAAAAAAAAAAAAAATTCTTTCAGTTTCCAGGAAGTCAAGAGGGTTTTTCTTAAGTTGCTACAGAAATGCTCAGCTTCCTTAATTCAAATGAAATTGAACGTTTTCAGCCATTTCAACTGAGGAACTGAACAAGACTTAACTTTAAAAGTCTAGATTCAACGAACAGCCATTCTTTTTCTTCATATTCAGTTTTTTACAGTGTACATTCCACTGAGTCCTTTCTTATTTATAGACTCTTCTCAAGGAGGAAAAAAAAAAAGAAATCAATCAACATAACTATTACATTGGCAACAAGGCCAAGTACAAAACGGAATGTCACACTATTCACCTGTTCCATAAAAAAATTATAAATCCTTGGAAACTGGAATTTTTTTTCCTTTCTAGTAGTTGGTAGTGGACTATGCTAGTCCTTGAAAATTTGGGTTCCTCTCCTGGAGAACAGGCAAGATACACCAAAGATATTTCCCCCTCACTGTATGCACTGAGATAGGATGCAACTGAATGAGAAATGCCCATTACATGTGAAATTGCAAAGGCAATAATGTTGGGATTGCATCTCTTACTGGCAAGTTCAAAGTTTTTAAAAGTACCAACAGAATCCTGCCACAAGACAGATAAAGAAGGGAAAAGAGTCTATCTGTGTTATTGTTCATTCATGTCATAAATCCTTTAGAGACTTCCTAAACATTACACTGGGAAAAGTTGCACAAATTTGCATAATAATTCACATATGAAATTAGCGAATCAGACTCTCCATAAGATTAAAAATAGCTTTCTCTGGTCCAAGTTCAAGTGAAGACCTATAACACAGACTAAAATCTTAGCTTACCTTAAACAGCATGTCTGTATAACAACTGGTTATAATAATAATTACATTGTAAATGCATTCACAACAAAACTGACGTAGTGGCATCAGTGAATCTCCAGAGACCCTAGCTTTGATATACAATAACTTCATCATCCAGAAGTTGCCATGAGTTGAACCTGGACTACAGTCATATACTGTCTTCAACACTGGTATCTTAGTCCTTGCTATCCGTAGACAAAACCATAGTGTCAAAGTGTCCCATATGACGAAAATAGAGCACTGTACCCTATAGAGAATTTCACGTGAAGGTTGTCAGTCAGGTAAGTGGAGCCAAGCTCCATTTCTACCTGATCTTCCCAGGCAGTTTTACAGAGCCACTGCCTGACTTTTCAAGCCACCTTTCCAAGAAAAAAAGGCTACACAATGGACCTTTTCTGTCTGTGTGATACTTACAGAGCCTTCACTTAAATATTGCAACATATCACATGTATTATTTAATGATACACATTGCACACTCTAGCCATCACTGTAAATTGGGGTATGTTATTAATATCCCTCATTTAACAGCTGAGGAACTATAAACCATCGATTGCTAAAATTACTAACCCAAGATTACACATGAAACTCCAGGGAGGTTACAGGTACTCAAACCATATATACTGAGTTTTACTGAAGTGCTAACAAGAAAAAACTCTTTCTTTCCCAGAGCAGACCCCTCATTCAGCAAATCTATTTCCATGGCCGTGAAAGCAACATATTTTGGCATTGAGTTTAAGCATTGCCCCATATCTGAGAGAAAAAAAAATACACTTCACAGAAATTACATAGTGTCTTTGATCTTAGGTTAGCCTCAGACGTTGCAATACTTCATCTGCTTGCTATGCATCTGAAATGCAAATATCGGTGCAGCCTGTCTATTTGACATTTGTCTATTTGAACATCTGAAGAAGAAATGAAAGATATTGTGTTACTAACACATTGGTTTTTCAAAGAAACTAATCAATAAGCTGATACTGTGAATTGCCGTGTGCATTTTAGTCACGAAGTCCTTAAAACAGCTGCATACCTGGCCAAAGGAGGAGGAAGGAAGTGTGTGACAAGCAGCAAACTTTCAAGCTTTCTCCCTTCATAATTCAAGCCTTTGAAAGCAGGTAATTATCAACTACATACATGAAGCTAAAAGTTACACAACTTTTAGCAGGAAGTGCAGATTTAAGCAAAAATATAGGATCAGGCAAACGGAATCAGCGTCGTCTGCTAGCATGTTCCTTAGGCAGAAGACCCTAAATGTTGCAAGATGTAAAATGGTACGTATCAGAGACTTCAAAACTGACAGAGAAATCTTAGCTCTACTGGTAAACAAAAGAGGGCAGTTTAGCTCCTCTCAGCCATATGAGAATGATTGTTCAGAGAATGATTGTTATAGATTTGCTGAGTAAAAAAGACAGTCCATAAAAGTGGTTGCCTCAGAAACAGTAGAAGAAGATGATTTGAAAGGGAAAAATTCCTGCACGAAAAGTCGATGTAGAGCGGGCTGATGGCCAAGATATGGCCTCTTCTGTTTAACTTTTCTGGTAAGGTTTTGGTTTGGTAAGTTAAAATCATTGTACTATGAACAAGTCAAAGAATAGACTAAGAAGCAGGGAAATTTCAGTTCTAATGTGGTTCAGTTCCTTGCTGAAAATTATCCTATAAAAATGTTAGCCTGGGATTTTACACTGTTTGTCTTGTACTGAGCTCCATTTCAGTCCATTATTAATATATGACAGCTACATAGATGTATTTACACCCCATCTCATATTTCCTGTTCAGCTCAGCCAGAATGAATAGTGAATGCATTTAAGGCTATTAGAACAACATCAAGTCTTTTCCCAAGCATAAACTGCAGTCTTACTCTCAAGGATAAGCCAAAAAAGACCACCTTTTGGGGTGCAGGAGGAGATAAATTTATTCTGTTCGCATATTAAGCAATGGAGTATTAATAAAACAGACCTCTTTTCAGGCCACACCATTTATTTTTAAACAGCCAAATGATTTCATCAAGATGTAACTATGGAGGTGATACTTCCCCTGAACAAGAAAGAATTAAAGCCAGAACTGTCAATCTGTACGACTAAAGATTTTGGCAATGACGATGAAAACAGTGCAAAAACTTAACTCACCCATCTCTTTGAAAGCTTGCTTCTTTTGTAAGACACAAAGAGACTGTAAGAAGTAAATCTTTCACTGTCTGCTTCACCTATCTTGCAATACAGTAGATCTGTTAAATTGCCATAAATACGTATCTCTGTGTTCCATACAGTTACACATAGCACAAAGGGCAATCTTGTCAGAGCTGCAATAAAACTCTAAAAATATAAGTAAAGTGCTAATAATAATCAGTTTTCCTTTCAATTTATATCTGAAGCCTTTGGAAAAGATCACAAATGCATTGTAAAAGACTCTTGGATACACTGAAATCATTCGTTTCTTGTAGGCTTAACTGGAAGTTCTGTTATCAATGGTAGGTGGTGACAGAAGTATAGATAAATATTAATCTCTTAAAATTCACAGCAGTAATTATTAGCATGCATCATGGACAACAAGATGTTGTTTGTCCCCCTGTCCTTTAGCTTCATGCCAAAAATTAATAATTAAAAAAATTAATTAATAGAGAATAGAGTCCTTAAATACAGAGGAAAGAAAGGGAATTCGAGGAAGAAAGAATTTAAGCAATATGACCTTGCTGCAAATGAGTTGTAAAGAAGCAATTCACACTTCAATAAACCATAATTTTAAATGAAAATACATTCCAATAATAATCCAAAATAGATTAATTCTATATTCATTAAATCAGTTTAAAGTATTTTATGACACAAATGTTTACTATAGGACACTAATTATGCCAATTGAAAATATTTCTGTGCTGAAGCTATCATGTTTTTGGAGATAAATTAACCATCCTATTTTTTTAATTTTTTTAATTGGAATGGTAAAAGAAAAACTCACAAGAAACAACAGAAACATAACATCAGATGCATTTCAGAACTAACTTATGCAATATAGGAATATAGGCAGGCTATATTCAGTTTCAGCACTTAAAATCCACCAAAACTGGGTTTGACAGTCACAAAAAAAGTTTGATTCTGCTGCGACAATGAAAGTAAAAATCTTAGTAATCTTAGTGCATGTATTAGATACTATATGTCCAGAGCTCTATCCCTCCAGCAGATTTGTGAAACATATATGACTTAAGGAGGGGAAAAAAAAAAGATCAAACTATTCCACAGAGAGATGCAATGAAGATGCAGTGACATCCACTATTTTTGACTTGCATTGACTTACATGTGACGCACATTTCCCACAGGAGAATAGCAATTATTGAATAAGCAGATGATGATAAGGATATGCCTTCCTCAACCTGCCTTCCATCATCATTCTCTGTCGCTCGCTCGCTATAGTGCTCAGCTAGCTCGGATAAACACCCATGGAATTAGATATGAGGCCCTGAGCCAAGGGCTCTCCCTTAGGGAAGTATGTGTTTCGCTAGTAACTACATAGCCACTGTCCTGGGCATAGTGAGTTGAGTTTCAGGAAAAGATGAGTCTCAGCACAGAGCCCTTCAGTCCCAGCCCTGAACTGTTTGGCATCCCCATTACAGCTGGTAACCATCCTCAAAACCAGAGGGGATGTTACTGTTTCTGTCCGAGACAACCAGCTGGGCAGAGCCTTAGCTCTAGCCTGGCAGGACGGGCCGGTCTTTCACTAATGATCAGAGCACGAAGCCCTGGTGAAGAGGCTGGCTGTACGAGGTAGCACGCCAACAGAGCATGCTGCGCATGTCCAGTCCTCCCGCACAGTCTCTCTTCTAATGTGGCAGGCAAAAATACTGTAGTTACTGAGTGACTGATCTAGACAGTGCAAAAACCCTGCCCAGATCCCAAACACTCTTAGAGCTTGCTAAGAAGGGCCAAGATATCTAATAGCCTCTCCAGTTGCTGTTGTCTTCCTTTTTACCAAAAGATCTTTCCATAGTTGTTTTATAAGTTGTGCGATGACAAGCACAAAGGCATCAGACTAGAGTGCACTGGCCATGTTACGATCCTCAAACGTTACTACAAAAAAAAAAAAAAAAAAGTGGACTTCTGAAGGCATCATTACTTAGCAGTGGTCCTGCTTGGCTAGGTCTGATCATACCATGTAGGCAAAAGCAAGGTAGAGCAGAGGAAATTTCATCTGTACCTGCCCGATTCTGTGGTTTAGCACATTTCCTTTCCTGCTGCATTTCACAAGTGGAAGCTAATTCCTACTCCAATAAGGGGTGGAGGAAAGCAGAGGACAGCAAAAAACCCCACCACTATCTATCCTACAGGCTGGGAGAGCACGAATATCCTACAGGGGACTTTGAGGCTCCCCTCTCCCATCCCGCTCAGCGTTCCCAACACTGTTCCTCTACACCAGGTACCACAGGACTGTGAAGAAGCAGATTAGAAAGACTGAGGGAAGGAAAAAGTAGTTGCAGCTAGAGCATGAACAGCATGTTCATACAGCCATAGGCCAAATAAACTAAAGTCTCAGGTTGGATCTAGCTACAAGGTTGGGGCACCCTGTATCTGTCATCAGGTATCAAATAATAGCCATATTCACCCTGCACCCTAAGCACCTATGGGGCCTGTGCCACCCAAAATATATCCTTCTTGGTGCTTGCTGTGTTCAGTGCCATAAAACAGGACAGTAACCAAAAAATACCAATAAGCCCTAAAACCATAGACTTTTTGTTCTCTCTTGATATGATTTCAGGCTAGTGTTCACCCTGTGTTCACGTTCCTGATAGTTTAGCCAAATAATAATGGAATATACATTCTCCTCATCCAACACAACCTCCAAGTTCAGATTTGCAAATTCAGTGTTGTGCTACTTAGGCATTCATTACAAAGAATTTTAACTTGCTTTTTAATTCAGGAAATGCTATTCTCCACCGGTACCTGCCCTGAGGCTGTTTTGTATTAATGTCTTTAAAGAACATTTATAATTTAATCTTCTCAAGGAATTATATTCTTGAGAGGCTACCTTTGTTTTCTTTTTGTCTGGAGGCCTCAAAAGAAAAAAAGTACGGAGCATCTAATTCAATAAAAATGCAATTCTCCATATACTCCATATAGCACTTGGGTTTAAATGACAAGTTATGTACATTTTCTTTGGTCTGCGTAATTTTCTTTGCACGGAAGTCAGCTCATACGACTCAGCTCAATTACATTCATAGGCACCATGACTGCACATCAGAATTAAGCATTCCACAAAATCTGAAAGCACGCACCTTAGCAAACAATAATGGACACGGGACAAATTCATCCCAAGGGCAACTCTGTTTAAATCAAGGCAGCTCCCTCCAGAATGCATTTCATCCTGTAAAATTAATTTGACAGGCTTACTGTGAAAACATTGTTCATGCTAAAGGATGTATGTTGCAATGCTCCTAAATTTGTGTTGAATATTTGCTAAGGAATTTATTTTGCATATACTTTCACCAGGTTTGCTTACAATTGCCAAGATCTATTTCTTGAAGAAAGAAAACATTTTTACTTAATACGCCATACTGGATCAAATTATTTTAAGGTCGAGCTCTTTGTGCAGGCATACTGCTATGCTGCTATCAACCCTTAGGCAATGCTGATTTGACATCTTCACTTCATACGTTGCCTGCATGATCTGTATTGTACCTGCTCAGGACAGGGATCATATTTTGCTGTCTCCGAGGCACTATTCACAATGTGGCCCAAAATGAGCAATAAATCTTACAAGCTTTCAGAAGTTCTATGTGCTTACTTCTTGCTTACATCTAAAATCATTCCTGGATAACTCTAGATACAAGTACTCTGAAGTAGACATTCTTGAATTTCGGACATGTAATATGCCCCCTCAGAATTTGATCACTTCAGACAACAGAAGCGTACCCAAAAGCATGGAATCAGGTTTGTGCTGAACACGCGCTACTCCTCCTGATTTGGAATGAGTGCTAAATGCTAAGTAAGTACAGCCCAGAATTTAGCTTCATAACGCTCAAAAGCCACACAATGAACGAGTTCTTTTCGCATTATGCAAATACCATCAAATAAACAACAGACTCCTCCTTCAGTTGTTTCACTAGCCTTCTGTGCTCATGGTTACATACGCTATCCTTACTGCAGGTGACCACATGACACCATATGCCAGGTACGGAGAAGAGGAAAGTCCAGAGTCAAAATCTGAAAGAAGAGGCTTAATGGTTTGGAAAGAGAGAAAAGAGAATTCAGTATGGAGCAGGTGATATTGAAATGGGGGAAATAATGGAGGCAAGGCAGCAGCTGTGGGCAAGTTGCAAAATTTGGGGGGGGAAATGGTCTGGATCCATACGGAATTTGGAAAAAGAGGACAAATCACGCTGGATTTTGAGAAAGCCACAAGCACAGAGAAGCTAATAGGGATTACACTGATCTGAATTATTCTGTCCTTTCTTCTGCCATTAATATCTCAGGGTCCCCTGCCACAAGGTATAATATATGTGTACCTGCTCGTTAAGGATGATCTTAAACTGGATTATATTTAAGACATTAGTGAAAGGAAGATATTCACCTAGAATATGCCTGAGATGTCTAAAACATCCTTTAGTTCTGTTTGTTAGAGTACAACAGTAGCCTGTTTAAGACAACTGTCAAGAAATTAGGATGATTTTAAAATAATACATTGTATATGCAATTCTGTTTCCAATACAACACAAGAGACAGGTCATAACAGTACTAGAATTTGCTGGAATTTCTTTAAAAATTTTTTCTAATCTTCTAGGTTTTTTTTAATTAATTTGAAGAATGAAAACATGACACTATCTTCTAGCATTCTTACCCACAGCGCTTTTCCTTCTTTTACTTCCATGATCCTTCTATCATTCAGTTTGAAGTGGAAAATGAATAGGAGGAGCAGAACTAAAGACTTGAGAACAACTATTTGAATATTTTCTACTCACGGTCCATTCCTGGTTGAACTCTCATCTGGAAGATTCATTCAATGATGGCAGATTTTTTCCTTTTTTCAGTTTTGTTTTTCCTAGTTGTAAACTCTAGGGTCACCCTTAGCATATAAACTACAACCCACAAACTTCTCAAATTCTCAGAGACACGCACATGTTTGTCTTAGCAAATGAAAACAAACAAGTGCAGCTTTAAAAAGCAGTGATCTGAACAGCAGACAGGGAGCTGTGCTGCGCACTACCACACCGCAAAACCCAGGAGCAGGAGGACCAGAGCTGCAGGTACTCTGTGCATGATTCCCTGTTACCTTCACCGAGTTTGCCTGGCCTGGAGCAAGTCTGATCGCTTGTTTGCCTGCAGTTACTCATGTGCGCCTGCTAGTTATCTTTCCCAAATCACACGCAGAACTATATGCTATTATATAACACTGTGCAGTAATTGCCATCTTACCTGCGCCATACGGATAGTCACAGTAGTGTCATATTTACCGAAGGCCAGAGATAACAGGAGTCAAAGCAATAGTAACACCAGCCCAGAAGCCTACACAAAAAAGAAGAAAATGTCTACAGAAACCATCTTCCCCAAAATATTTCCATTCTGGTTTCAAAAGAACAGTCACAAATTTCATTGCAGTTTGCTGTACGTTCCCTTATCGCCTGGACATGATTTCCTGTGTGCTCTGTAGCATACGCAAAGATATGCCAGTTCTGGAACTAGTGCTCTAAATAACCAAACAGGGTGGATGGATTTCATTGTTGTTATTGCTATTTTTGTTTTGTTTTGTTTTGAATCATGGCTCTAGCCAGAGCAAGGCATGCAGTGTCACGGTAGGCAATTGAACCTGGGTTTGGGGCTATTTTCCTACACCATGATACTTCCAAGCTAACCGCTGGTTAGCCTGTATCTTGAATTAGTAGACTGGCTTTCTTTTGTCAGTACTCTGAACATTTTACAGCATTTCCAAGGAGGTATCACCTGTGACACTAATTCATGAATTGTTTGCTTCCAGCATTATGTTCTGTTCCTGTCCAGGCTGCTTCCCACCTAGAAAGCCAGAGTCATTGTCGTACACTATTAGCTTTTGTCTGCAAGTCCTTCAGGTGTTTTGCTATCTGTCAGATGACAGCACTCATATCCATAATTATCTGCACTCATTTTTCCAATAAGATTCTAGATAACTTTATATAATACATATAAAACTTTCCTAATATCCAGACTATGATTATTTGTGGATAGAAATGTATTCCCACAGCTGATAGCAATTACTATGGTACAGAAGCATAAAAATGCCTCTCAGCAAGGTATTTACAAACATAAACCACAAATATTTACCTCGAAGGCTGGTCTGCTTGCAATGATGCTGCCGGTCATCTTCTGATAGCCCATCTCCTACCCTTCTCCATGCTTTGACATGATTTTTCTCTCTAGGGATGTCCAAATGAGTTAGACAGATGTCTGCAGAGATAAACATGTAGCATTACTTCTTCCTCAGTGACTTGTCAAGAAACTGCTGTTGTAAAACTAAAAGGATGAAGATTTCTCTATCCCAGAATACGCATCTGTGCTTTGAAACAGTTAGGAAATCAGGTTGATCTACAAATCTAGTTTGTAAATCAGGGTCTATTCCACAACTACCTACCTCAGTTTCCCTACCTGCAAGCTCTTCAATTCATATGCTTTTTTTGCCCCCCCCTCCCCACTGTAAGCCATTATAAAACATGATCAGTTCATAATGCTGATAAGTCTCTCTAAATATATACCGGTTTTCTCCGTTTATCCTCACACTCTATAAAAAGAGCAAAAAAATTTGCACAGGCCAGGAATTCAAAGCTTCTCTAAAGAAAAACAGTTAGCAAAAAATGGAGGAAAACAACGACAAAGAGAACTATGAGAACATTTCTGAGAATTTTCTGTAGCATAAAAAGACATCCATAATGTTGAAAGTCCCATGAAGATACAGCCTGAGAAATATGCTCCAGAAATATATTGTTAAAGCATTGGTGTCCAAAAGCACTTTCAATTCACAGTCTATATATGTGTCTTGCATATTTGTTCCTTTAGTAGAAGGGCTAAACATTTGACATTACCATATATCTTTCATGACTGTATTATTCTAAGACAGTTAAAAAAAAAAAACAAACACCTCACAATACAGGTAAGAAGTGAGGAAAGAGTAGGGGAGCAGAAGCAGAAAGTGGGTGAGATGTAACGCAGTAGGGTGGGAAGAGGGTTGCTTGCTGCATGTTACATGCGCTTCTTGGTCAAAATATTTCTAGTTGGTTAATCCTCTGCAATAATAGTCACATTAAATCCAAACTTACTAAAATACTACCCCTCTACATTTCCCTGCTACCTCCATATTGATTATATCCATCTTTCATTTTATCCCTGTTCTAGCCTCCTTTTTCTTTATCCCTGTTTTTGTCCTGTGACACAAAAGACACTTATTGCAGATAAAAATGTAAATGGAAGAGAAAAACAGAAGACAACGCTAGATTGTTGAGGAAAAATGAAATCTACAGTTAGGACCTACCAAGTCTAAGATGGTCTGTTTGATTTTTGTTCTTTTTTTTTTTTTAGATCAGGTATTGATTTGGCCTTCTCCAAACTTCTGTAATATTCTGGAAATACCATGAAAATAGCCATACTCAGGTCAACTGGTATCTAGCCTCAATAAGAACTGCAAAAGGTATATCTGAGCAAAGGTGAAAAGGAGATTCAATTAAGCATTTGAATTCCATTAAAAAGATTAATATGAATATTTCGCAAAGTCATTTATTTAATTTCAAATGCTTCTCTATCACTCCTCGTTAATGGGAATAATTAAACTCAGGTAAGTGAAGAGCAGAGAAATAACTGAAATAGTTTTAAAAGGACAACCAGGTAAACAGTAGGTTTTTGCATGAGAGAGAAATTGTGCCAGAGAGCCACGAAAATATAGGGTGATTTAAGGACAAATAGGAGAAAAGATAGACTTGTACTGGGAACTTAAAGACTTTGAAATAAAAAGATTTACTTCATTAATATTTTGGTTTTACACCTTCTGTTATTTTGTAATAAACATTCAAAGACTTTTAGCACAAACTGGCTGTTTTAGCCATGTCAGAAGAGTTAAAGGAGCGTATCACTAGACTCTTACAAACACATAGCTGCAATGGATTAGACAAAAAAAAATGCTTGAAGAGCATCAAGGGAAGCTTTAAAAGTATCATGCTGAAACAGTTCATGCTGTGATATTCTCAAAACACCTGACGTTCTCAGAACATATAAACTATGGAATAGCAGTGGGAATAAAACATTATCAGATTCTATTAGTTGAGGAAAAAACCTTTCATGTGTCTCACAGAGAAATATTACAATTTTACCACAGCTAATTTTATAATTTGTGCTCGGATAAACACAGCCAAAAATCTAGTCTCTGACAAAAAAATTGGCTTAGTGTAGCTATTTTTTCATCAGTTTGTTTTAAAATCTGATAAAATGTTAGCAATATAAATTCTGGCATAGCAAGACTAGCTCATTTTTCCCATAGCTCACAGACCAACTGAAATAACATGTTCTTCCTCCAAAATTCAGAATAAAATATTTGCACGTCTTCTTGCTGTCTTATAGCAAGCATTACTTCCTATAGTTGGTTCGTTAGGAAATAGCGCAGAAGATGAAACTCCACGCAACAATCATTTGGCAAGAGGCTATGACTCTCGTCGTGAGAAGATCCGCTTTAGAGTTTATGAAATGCTGGGTTAAAACACAGAGGCAGTATTTAAACCTCTTTTTATGCAAAAAGGAAAAACTAAAAAACCTAACTTGTTAGCTAAACATTGGCAGCTCCTGGAGCAAGGTTGGTCTCTCAGGTCTGTAAACTGGTAAATAAAAATTAGGGGTCTTTTCTTCAGGCAAGGGCACACTGAGAAAGATATTAACCTTATTTCTGTTTGATGTCCCAGCCTGATTTTCATTTTGATGATGCCCAGCAAGTTGCCTCATATTGATTGATTGAGATTCTTTCTTGAGGGGAGAAATTTCTGATACATTTCAGCACATCCGCCAGCACCTTGTCATTTCAGCTGGAGGAAACCAACCACTGTGGAAGAATAGAGATTCGCAATAGCTTTTTTTTCTAAGAAAAGCTATCAATCTGTTGTTCATTTTCCTTTCCTTCTTCCACTATGAATGGGAATAAGGACAGATAAAAACACGAACAAAGTTAAGAGCAGCCTGTCCTCCACAGTCCTGACCCATAAAAGCTCTCCTTCATACTACTCCTTACTCTTGAAATCTCCCTTTCCCTAAGTCTCCCATATCAGCCTCAGAAAATACTTACCAGTTTCACCACTACTGCTCACAGATTGCTTGCCCTCTCTATAACATAATTATTTAAGGTCAGACTGACGCTTCCTTCTAGCTGCATACAACGTCTTTCATGTCCTGCTCCACTATTCAGACAGTCAAGAGTGCCAAATGGCGGTTTCCTGCAGAAAAACGGCTCCAATCAAAACCTCAAGTGTGGGGCAAAGACGGAGGGGACATAAAATCTTCTTTCTCTTTTGTTTGCATGAAAAACTCAGCACACAAACCAAATGAGTAAAGAGAAGTTCCCCACAAGGTGGGAAGATCGGCTCTTTGCTACTTGCATAGCAGCTTCTACTGCGCTACTGCTCCCCGTGGAAACGGGAAGTAGAAAAAGCGTTTTGAGAAAGTCTGTTTTGAGACATTTCCTAGCACAGCGTTGGAAAGCTAAGCAGGCTGAAAGTGTAGATATTCTTTGTACAACATCCAACCAGCTAAACTCTCTGAAGATCATTGATCTTTACTTTTATTTAAAAGTTTTATGCTTTCATTAAAAATCAAAATTTTTAAGGGAAAGGCTAGTTTGTATTTTCCATGAGCCACAATACTAGACTGTATAAAACTTGTTTTATAAATCATTTATACCCTCAAAACATCTTAAAATTGCTTATCAAGCAATCTAAACCTCAAAAGGAAAAAGCAAAACTAAAAAAACCTATCAAATACATTATCCATCTTGAATTCAAACAACTACCCATTTAAACTGCTTTATTACTGATATTGCTTTTTTATGCTGTGTGTATATATACATACATATAAATATATATATAAACCATATCAGATATTGTAAGCAAGTGTGGTTTAACTGCACTGTGAGCTACATTTAATGGCTTTACCGTCAATTACTCCACAAACAACAGACAGTAGTTTTTTCAGGACTGTCAGATTAAGACTATCAGGCTGAAATATTTATATATACAGTTAATACAGCCAGCACAATACTAAGAGCTCCTCACTGCTGCTTACTTTCTGCACTTGCTTCAGCTTGGCCTGTCAGGCGAGGCCAAACTCAGATTTCCAAGCCGGTTTCACTTTCTGGTTCCTGCATGAGAACTAGCAGAGCCCAGCAATAAGGCAGAGCTGCAAAACTCAGGGCCTGACTATAACCTTCTCTTCCAGTCTACATGAGAAAGTCATTCACAGTTTCTTTCAGGGTGTCTCCTGTAGACAGGACACCGTCTGTCCTGACACGAGACAGACGTTCTGGAGAACAGCTGAGGTGTTTTGATCCAGCCTACTGCTGATCCTCGCTCTTAAAAAAACAAGCTGGGAGTTAACACTAGTGTTGATATCCAGTTCCTCACTCCCAAACCGCAATTTAACATAGTGAAGCCTTTTATGTTAGTACGTGCCTTCTTACCTTTAGCTTGTTTTGTTGAAAAGATTGGTACCTTTGGGGCATGGAGGATCTAATTAATCTTTCAGATTTCATTTTGTACTTCACAGACACAGAACTCGTCGTCACCAGTTTGGCTTTGTATCTCATGTGCCACAGGAGCACATACTTACTGGAAGTAAAACAGAACAGTGACAGACACACACTGCCCAAATTCTCATCTAAGTACTGCTTTAGAGATTCAGCACAACTTTTTCAGTCACTTGCCTCAGGTTCTTCTAAATTGATAAGCTGGTTTCTTAGCTCTTGTCAAGATACATCCGATGATTTAAGGTTTGCACCGAATGGAAGCCTAAATGACATTGACTCCCAGGTTCTGCAAAACCAACTAAACCTGCTCTGGGGCAATGGTGAGGCTGCAGAAGTGTGCAGAAATTTGAAGTTCTGTCCAGTCAAAGCGCTGAAAGCACATCTCTCTCTCTCTCTCACAGGCCTGGGGCCTGTTTAGCTCGTTGATGGCTTCCAGTTGACAAGAAAGGAGTTGAACAACATGCTGTATGGAAGAAAATACTCCATTAGATAGGCCTCCTTAATGCCACTCTGTCAGCATACACTGGATGGAATATGTGTTATGCCTTGGTGTGTCGTGCTTGCAGCTTAAGCATACGTTCATTCTGCCCACACTACACACAGTTGCTAGTAACTCCCTCTTCCCTCCCACACTTAATGAGGTGTGAGGTTAGGTTTTCTATAGTTAGAAACCGTGACTCTAGCTGTTGCTTTACAGCCATTTCTGCAGCATTCATAGGTATAATTTGCAAATTTTCAACTTTGGAAGGCACATTATATTATTAGAATAGAGATGTAAGTTGTTCTTCTCCAAAGCTGGAGACGAGCCCTGTCAGAGTCTTTCTGGTTTCCTTGGATGTGCTCAAATCATACAACTGATAAGGGAAATGCACACTTTGATTAGTTCAGCTCCATGCAGGTGCATGGAAGAACTGCAGAATTGCAGAATGCAGGTGCTCTAGCTGAACAGCGCAAATGTGTGCAGGAGGGAAAAGGCAGGAGAAGAGCAGAGGAGAATAGCAGATCATGAAGTAAGAAGAGGTGGTCACTCAGAGCACTGCAGATGAAAGCAAGATGCTGATGATAATCTCAGCAAAGAAAACCTGAGCACTGGTATGATGTGCTTCATTATATTTGACTCTATCTAGGCGTCAGGTTGTTGTATTCTCCTCTCTCTGCTCTGCAGCATTTGGGAAGTCCCAAGGAGAAAAGGTGCAGTGAACTACAGTATCATGAATGTGTGTGTGTGTGGGGGGGTATATATGCAAATATATACATGAACATAGATGTATGAAGTGGCAAAATAGTTATCATTTCTAGATGCAAAAGTTATCAGGCTAACAGGATCCTTTACATGTTCCATCTGTCTGTTACAAGATGGCCTTTTATCAGACATTTGTTTCAAGTAACTCATACCACTGAGCAAGGGTAACATTCATATTTGCTGCTGAAATTATCGTGGATAGCATTTAAAGGGTCGCTTCTTGGAAGTTTAGCTCTAAGAACCAGAAAACATACATACCAAGCAAGAGACCTGGTGACTTATGGCTTGACCTTGACGGGGAAAGATCTTCTAACTTTCCAGATTTACAGTTCTCCTTCATGGAGACCTTGACTGGAAAAATGCTCAACTTAGAGAAGCAAGTTCACTTCCGGTTTTCTTTACAATAAGATGGCGTTGTTATAGGTCCCCCAGAATTTTGGAACAATTAAACATAAGCCAGATAAGCTTTCAAGTAATCTATATGCTCCCTTAATTGTCTTATAGATAACTGCTCTAAATCTAAGCTGATATATGTGCTTCCTTATGCACACAACCACACAGTAACGCTAACAAGAATCCCAGCTATTATTAAGAAGCTTGCTAGACATTACAGAATTCTTTTCGCTTACAATTAATTTTTAAAAATAACTTTTCTCTTTCTAGATTTTTAACTTGAAAACATACTTTTGCATTATAGCATATCAGAATATTCAAAACTATACAAAACATGTATATATATATAGTGTGTGTGTGTATGCATATTAAAAAAAATTGCCACTGTTAGCTAGAGAAAGCAGTTCAGAGCTGAATATTTATGGCCTTATTTGTGCATAATGGATAAGACAGACCCAAAGTCTATACAGAATCTACTGAAATCAATAAAAGCTTCCAGAATATATTATGTTCGCAAATGAAACCTGCAATGCTAATGGCATTCACGTGACATCTTAAATTGCTAATGACAGATATGCTGATAATTACTCCCTGTATTTAGGAGTCAAGACATATCCCCAGGTCACAGATAACTTATTTCACCCACTTACATGTTACTGCATTGTTTTCTCTTATGGGGTTTCACACCTGTCTTGTTTATTGATCAGAGACAGGACAGTGAACTCTTGGTCCAGTTTAGTGTGCTGCTTTTGCCTGAAGTTGCATCGTATCTGTAAAAGCATAGCGAATTGGAGCACATGATGAACAAGCAGAGACCAAAAGAATTACTTTTGTCAGTCTCTACAAAAGAGGATCTTATTTATGTCTTCAAACATCTAATGGGTGGTTATAGAGAACATGAGAGTCAGACTCTTCTCTGAGGAGCGCAATGAAAGGACAAGGAACAGACACCAAGAAACACTGCATCAAGCAAAATTATGACTGGGCATTAAGAAACAAAGTTTTCATGGGATGAACTGGGAAGGGTTGCCCGGAGTGGCTGTGGAGTGTCCATACTCAGAGAGATTCAAATCTTAATTCGATAAGACCCTGAGCAACTTGATCTAACACTGACGTTAACCTGACTCTGAGCAGGGGCTATGAACAGATGAAGTCCCGAGATCCCTGCCAACCTAAGTTACCTGTAACTCTACAACACCATTGCATAAATCTGAACCAGGAGATTTTCAAGGAGGTTTTTTTTTTTTTTTTTCTCCAAACAGCTTACCTTACAGTTACTTTCCCTTTCTTATTTTCCAGGAGCAACTATAACAACTGCAGAATTTTTCTGTATTTTTCTTCAAAGGGTTGCTAGACTTCAAATTATCCAAGGATCCCTTCTTTATTTGAGGCCACTGACTGACCATAAGAAATGTACTGAGGCACTAGAGGTATTTGTTTGAAATACTTGATATTGAAATTCAAACTGTTCTTCAAGCAGAATTCCTAACAAGAAGGATTTGTGATCGGGAGTCTACAACAGTTACTTTGAAGAAAAATATGTGTGTTTAAGAGACCTACAAATCTTCAAAAGAACCACCCCTTCAAAAGGCCCCACCTCACAGATATAAGGGCTTTTTTCAAAAGCTAATGTATTTATACAAGTGGAAAGACTTGTGAACTGTGTAAGGCAATTACTGCAAACACTGCTGTAGAAGCGGACAAAACGTCCCTGATTTTCCTTGTTTTTTTCAAAGAAATACATTATTTCTTTCATAAACACTAAAACTATAGGCCAAATCCTGTAGTCCTTACCAAAAGAGATGTGGTTTTCCAGATGTCCCAGTGGCCTTCTGCACAAAGAAAATGAATACCCCAACGAGGTAAAGGGCAAAAAGAGAAGGGGCTTCAGAATATGGTCCATATGGAAAGAAAAACTGCATTTAAAACACACCCAATAAGCACTGAAGATCTATCACGCTGGATTTGAGCAGCTTTGAATTTTTCACAAAACTATTTGCTACATTCATCTATCTATCTACATACATATATGTATATGCACAGATGTATACACACACAGAACGTTTCACACATAGCTATCCAGAATAAAAAGCTTACCCTGTCTTTTTTTTATTTTTTATTTTTAATTAGAAGACGTTGGGTGTTGCATGTGCTCTGGTATACACTAGGCAGTAGTTCCCCAAGGTGGCTGTCTGTGGTCTCCTGCTGTTGCATGTTCCAAATCACTTTTGTGAACCTACTGAAATTGTATCTCAAGAAGAGAAAGACAGAAGAGATAAAAGGTGCAGATAAACAGTAGTCTCTGGTTAGACCAAAGTGATCACTGCATCTTATTGCTGTTTTTCCTTTTTCTAAAATAATTTCATTCTCTTCTGGTTTACACATTAATGCTTCTGCCTTCTGCATCCCACATTTTATCTTCCTCACTATCTCTGGGCTTCACCCACGGAAGTTTGGTGATGGGGGAGAGACTTGAAAATTATTATTGCAACACACAGGAGGGCTCTGATAACTTTTCACCAGGCAACATGTGTGTGCGCACACGCTGATGCTCACGCTTCTGTTGAGGATTCTTCATGGTCTGTAACTGCCAGTAAGGACTGTAAAATGATTTTCTTACTATAAAGCACAGCAGAACAAGAGTCTAATGTTTTCTTACAGCAGCTCTGCAGATTTCATCAAGTGAACCTCTTCCTACTACTGTAAGCACAATAGTGCCATTTGCTTTTCTTCACAGAAAAGCTCAGCCTACACACAATAATGTATTTCAGATTTTAATCTGACAGCGCTTTCCAATGTGCCAAGGACACCTAACAGGTAAGACATGGCTACTCAATATCTGCGTTCATTCTCCTTCAACTCGTTTAGGTAATTACAAAAGAAAACTTTTTAATTAATTAAAAACTAAATTAATTTTTAAAACTATTTTAAATAATTTAAAAATATTACTAAGCATCAGCCAGTTCCCACTAAATCAATTAAACTAGCTGAGTGCTCCATATGGTTTGAAAGCGTGCTGCCTATTTTAAGGGGGAAAATAAAAGAATCCATTTTTCTACACTTCGTGCCCAGCACATGAATGTTATGAAAAACTAAGGCTGTGTAACTGCAAGCTGACTTTGCATAGCTGACTAGGAAAATGACACGCATAAGTAATTCTTAATCATTCTCTGCATGATTAACAACAAGCTAGCTCTGAAATATTAGGAAGCTGCAGTGACATTATTTCTTGTGGACATTTGGATGGTGGGTTCTGAGGATGGTTATGAATCAGTAACTGAAATCAGTTTTCAGTTAATACCTAGAGTTTGTAGATTTGCATACAGAGCAGTAACTGAAAGTAACCCACAAAGAATTTGCAAAATTGTGCATGGCATGAACTTTGTCTCGGGCACCTTCATTTCACTTTTTTTTTGTTTTTTAAATACTGGCATATGGCTTACAATAACAGCACAATACAATAATTTAGCATAGAAGGAGAGGGAAAGATAAGGTAACATGATTTTTAAAGACAGCACCAATCATTGTTCACCAGAGATCGAGACCTAGTCACACTTGGTGTTGAACTGTGAGAAGTTCTTTCCATGTTCGTGGCAGTTCATTAAAATAAATAAAGAATGAACTCTGGCATGAACAGTCTGTGAAGAAGACATGTTTGCTTTTTGATGTCTAAAGTGAAACAGAGGTTTTCATTTATGAGTATGCCACTTTGGAGAGACCTTAACTGCCTTTTTTTCCCCCCTCAGGATTCCATTGTTATGGGAATGTCACACATTTCTGTTTTGAAGCATTTTTTTTAGCGTGAGGGTTTTCCCTGAGCGCCGAGACTGCTACCATCCACCTTCTGGGAAAGCTCTGTGGACTAAGATCCTATCTCATGACTGCACTAAATGCAAGCAAATCTTCCAGACATTTCCCAATACTCAGGCTTTTCTTTGCTCAAATTTAGTAGTCTGCTGTTAATATCTTTAGGGTTTCTGGGACAGAAACTGTCATTTAATAAGACTACTGAAAAATGTAGGCCTGAAAACCTTTAACTGGACTCTAAGTGATTTCACAGAAGGAAATACAGCCATTTCAAACCTCTCTTTTTTTTCCCCTATACGGATGCTAGTGCAAACTAGAGAATGCTAGCTCTAGAAAGCATATAGAGGCCTGAAGTATAAAACACTTTTCCCACGTTAAGTCCTTTGAACAAAGGCCAAAATCAGTCATTAAACTAATATGGGCGCACTGCTGTTCCCCACCACCGCCTACAACTGCCAAACAGTAGGAAAGACATCACGCAATATCGGAAAGGACTAGGCCATTTCTGCATCCTCTGTGGACCAGGAAATAGACTGTATGGCAGAGGTCGTGTCTTGCAATACTGCCTAATCCTCTGGGGATTAAGGATGCATCTTTGCTGCACCAGTAAACTTCTCCGTCTAGGCTCAAGTAAACCGTTGGTAGATGAGGAACTAAAGCATCTTTATCCACAAAGGGAGGTAGGATACAACATACTCAAATAATGTCCCTGCAGGGAATTGTGCAGATTTCCCTTGTAAAGTTATTTCCAATCAGTTTTCTAAAACTTAGTTTCTTTGACATTCCCTTGTCAAAGAATCTGTGTGATGTTGTTAAGATTTGTGAGCCCAATAACAGCACACCATATACCTAGCCACAGGCCTAACTTCATTTTCACATAAGCCCTTGGTTTATTGGTAACAAGTCTATCAGATATCATCTGGGGAGGGGGAAAGTTCAAACAACTAAGTCATCCCTTTTTTTTTTTTTAAATCTGCAAACTTCAAAACAGCTAAAATCCATCTAGAGGAAGTCAAAGTTACTGTAAAGTATTAGGTTTCTGAGCCTCTTACCGCCAGCTCTCCTCCCACCCTGTAATTCACGTACCTATTGACACAGCTTTTTACCCTGCTGAGTGTTGTTATTTCTTCAGTATCATCGCTGATGTAATAACAAGTGTTTCACATACTGCAGAACTGCAAAAACAGAAAAGAAGGTCAGAAAAAAACACCAGTATCAAAGATATTACCATGAAATGAGGTAATTCACACTGCATCATTGCCAAGGAAGTAACACTGTCCTAGCTGCAATGCTTCAAAGTACTCCACAATGTAACAACATTTATTGCTGGTTTTTCAGGGGTGCATAGGACAGAATACGTACGTTATGAAAAATATACCAACCTGTTGCTATTGGAGTCACTTTGCACAACATCTGAAGACCCATAACACCATACAGTTATTTGATCTACAGCAACATAGGCGAGTGCTGCCTTGTTTTCCACTCACTGCAGGTCACGAGGAGCAAGCTTTACCCTTTCATCATCAGCTCTTCCCTCTCCTTCTCAGGGAGGATTCATAAAAATACAGCTGTAAGAGTGCGTGAAAGAGCTGGCACTGTTACATGTGTAGGTGGGGTGGCGACGCTTGTCTGAAGGTCGTCCTAAACACGAGGCTCTGGGCAGCCGGCACGGAGCAGCTAACAGCTGGCATTTACAAAATGTAGCCTTTGCTGCCTCTTCTCTGACAGGTTATTTCATGAAGCCAAAGTTGGTTTTGTTCTGAAGGCAAGAATGAACAGAGTGGCCATAAAGAGGCAGAAAAAAATATTTTTTGAGGTTCCCAATACTTTGACATAAGGTCGCCACTCCTGCCCAGGAAAGGGAGAGAAGTGAAATGGACAACTGCACATTTTCTACTTTGCTGTAATATTTTGAATTCTAGGACACATATCTACAATCACCTCTGCTACAGGAGGATCTCAGGGTGGCTTGGAAGGAAAAGATCCAGTGGGGCACACTGACAGAATAAAAGCTATTACATGTTAGGTCTTTACTGAAGAATTTCAATGGGTTTAATTTAATTTCAAGAGGGTTTTGAGAGCCAATATTGTGTAGCCCTTTATCAAGGGTTATCTTATCATAAGCACAAAGCTTCTTTTTTAATGTATCTTTTGAGGTTTTTCAAAGCAATGAATTTTCTTTTGAGAGACTTCCATTACAGCCTGCACCATGCTCTGTGAGAAAAGGTTTAATCCATGCTGCTTCTGCTGTCATCCATAGTGTCAAAAAAGAGCAATGCAAATATTCACAATGTTCTCAGATAGAAATATAAAAAATAGCTTCCTGGTTTCATAGTAACCTAATTCCAGCTTTCTCCCCCCCCAAAAAAATCTTTCTAGCCATTTATTTCAAAGATAAATTGGGCAGCTGCCCAGAGTAACCAAGATAACATCATTAATTTGTCCATATTGTCACTTCCAGCAGCTTCCTTCTGACTATATATTTACTGCAGATAGATTTTCATCTGTCCCACATGTTAATGAAGATACATTTTAAATACAGCTAATAAACAGAAGAAAAAATGTGATCCACTTTGCTCCTGTGATGACTTTAAAACATCACACATCAGTCATCTGAACATTCCCCTTTAAAATGCTATGTGCTATCAGAAATCTTACAGTTCTCTGCAGGATTAAAAAATACTCCCTTTTTTTTTTTTTATTTCCTGTAGGAACTCCCGCTATGTTCCTACTGTATATTTTGTTCCTCTTTGTTCTTTGGGTTGACTGGCAAAAACTTGACCCATAAAACCCCCATGCCACAACTACAGAAAGTCAGAGCCATCTTCTCCGCACAGGAGCTCTGATGCAGCTATACGCAGAGCTCTTCCATGGTTGCCATTGCTCCAAGATCCAACTTTAAAGGCACAATTCCTACTACCAGTAAGGAACCTTTTAAGTCTATTGCACTTCCAGGACAATGATGCACATTATCTTTGACCTATCCCTGGATCACCATTCCTCCCTTAAGATGCCTCCTGTTATCTCCTATCTCATATGAAGGACTAGTCTCAAACCACATCCGGCCAAAAGCAAGGCAGGTCTCACCATTCCTCTGAAAAGGTGCTATGAGCATCTGTCAGCTCTCCAAGAGCTGTGCTCCCACCAACTTCATCTTCCTATCCCAATCCCACTAGCTCAAACCAGGCCCTTCACCTCTCATCTCTTGCTCCCCACCCCAATCCCACTACCACACTTCTAAGCCACGCTCACGTCCCCAGACTCCCCATCATTCAATTGCAATAGCAATTGCTTTGTCCTTTGGGGTCGGAAGTAGTGCCTGCATTTGACCAGACCATTTGAGGTAGTCATGTCCCAATCCACTGGGACACGCGTGCGTTGTTAACTGATTACCCTGGTGCCTCACATGTATGTTGAATGCCTGACTAGCAGACTGCCTCTTGACAGGCCAATGGGAGTACCAAGAGAGGCCTCTACTGGATCCCAAACCTTGTTGTGAGACTGGTTGTCTCCTAATTTAAGTGAGAGTAAGTAAACCACATGGCGACCTTTGGATGCACTGGTAACGGATTCCTTCTGTGCACAAGACCTTGCAACCCATGTACAAAAACAGTATACTGCATCAAATGGAGAGAAATCTAATCAGACTCAGGAATATTCTCAGATCCTCCCCAGTTTTAAGCATTAGCTAGCTCTAACTTTCTAATTGTAGCTACCATGTATTTCTTCACAACTCCTGCCATATTATTTGCATCTTGAAAAATACTATTCCTAAAATAATGCTTTAAAAATGGTAACACTGCATTAGAAAAACTGACTGACTGCTGGTGCATCATGCCAATGCCTAAAACATTCACCAGAGCTGGCTTTGAGAAAAATAATTTGACACAATTTTTACAGCGGCACTCCTGACAACGTAATGAAAATCTATCAAGACGACCTTAGATGCATGTTTTTACTAAGCAAAGCAGCCAAATACATCTCTATTTTCTAGTAAGGAAAATGTGAACTGTGTTGAGTGAAGACTTCTTACATGGAAGCATTTTTTACATTCTGCACTCATGAAAATGTAAATCATCCTTTTTTTTTTTTTATTAAATTTTGACACTAGAAGTCAGGACATGCTTAACATGCTATAACTGTGCTTAGTTTAGCTAGGCTCTGAAATCACTTGTAATTAAGTGAAGCGTACGGAAAGAAAAGCAAAACTGATTAATTTTGACCTTTTCTCCAAGCATGTAAAAGGGACAAATGTTTTATACAAATGTGCAAATATCTCTAGCAGCAGAATCACCTTCTGTAAAGCAAAACCTAAACAGTTTACTCATGGACTGGCCGGAAAAAAAAGTTTACTGATCGAGCCTTGATGAGCATTGTACTTCCCCCGCTAAGATGAGGAACTGACTGACATGCAAGACTTGCTGTTCTTGCAGCCACAGGAGTAGCAAGAGAAACAAAAAACAAATATCAGAGACATGATGTGAAGTGATGAATAGGCTAAAATTAGTTAACATTCTTATTTCTTTTGTGAAGAGAGATGTAAATGCTCAGATGCAGGGAAGAAAGAAAGAAAAAAAAAAAAAAAAAAGAATTCAAAAATCCTAGAAGGCCAGTGTCTTCTGGCAAAGAAATAGCAGACAGTTTAAATCTCAGTGCACCAATGCGCACACACACACACGTGTATGTGCACATGTACAAGCACAAGTACATGTGTAGATTATAGCTTTCTTGTTTTAGGAACATTGCCTGCAACTCAAAAGCAGGTCATACAAAAATAAGGGGGGAAAAACCATCACCTTCATAACTGTATCATTAATGCCAGGAAATTTTATAGCTAAGGCAACATCTACCCTGGTCCTAAAGACAGATTGTCAATATTCAGCATTTTCCCACCCCAGGTTTTGTAGCTTACCTTTCCAAATGTTTGTGTGGTTTATGAGGATTGCACATCCTTCTTCTGGTTGTAGTATTAATATTTTCACTAGAAGAAAGTGCTATTCTTCTTATTCCCTTTGCTCTTTTTTTTTTTTTTTTTTTTTAAAGTTAGCATTGTTCAAACCTGGAATGAAATACAACAAGACGACTGAGTAGAAAATTAAGTTTTTGTCAAAGCTCAGTATAAAAGTTGAACATCCTTTAAGCCACATGCAAAGAAGCAGCACATAAGTGAAACAATACAGAAAACAGGTTTAGCTCTGCTGGGCTGCAAATAAAGCTGGATTATTTTCTTTGCTACTTTTTTGTTATCTCAGTAAATCTAATTCTGGGCAGCACTGAAATGTTATGACATACCATACTTGAAAGTTTTCAATAGAAACAGGAAAAAAAGAGATCTATCAAGTAATAAAACAATAAATGAAATTAATGAAATTTTGCATTAGATGTTTTGGGGGATTTTTTCTGTTTGCTTTATGCAATGAAAGGAACCAAAGCCAATCATTCCGCAGTTCAGGAATTCTCTCAGGTATAAGAGTTTGTATGTAAACATTGCCTGCCTCCATCCTCCTGCCTCCACCCTTACTGAGAACAGGCCAGTAGCCACGTACCAAGTAACAAAAAGGTAGGTGGCACAGAGGAAGAGAAAGATTCCAGTATCTGAAGGGCAATTCTGCTGGCCACAGAGAGCAGGGTGATTTCCTGCCGATCCTTATTTTTCCCAAATAGAATAACCAAAATAAGTTCCTCATGTTATTTTCCAGCTCAGCAATTGTGGCCATTACCAGACTGTCATATTAGGGCAAAAATTATGTGAAATGGTCTATCTGATAAGAAATGGAAGAGGGGAAAGTGTAAAAGTCATGGTGAACATGAGATTTACCCCAGAAAAAAAGGTGAGAATCCATTTCCTGAGGTTGCATCCAGCGTTACTGAAAGTAGGGGAGTAATCTCAGCAGTTTACATACAGCCAGAATGACCCAAACCTTGCCTCATGCCCATAATGAATGTGTCTGAGGTGGCCTTCAGGCATACTAGTGGCATAGAGTTAACTCTATGGCATCTCTGAGAAGTCCAATTGCACAAACTACATTGTGGGTTACCTGAAGAAGCTGTGCCTATCTCCCCCACCAATCCAGGCAGCCATGCTGCCTGACCAAAACTGGCAGGATAAAAGTCCTTCCTAGAGTGGCTGTGATGCTACACAAACACACAGGGTGTGCGACCAGTCAGCACGCAAGACAGTATTGCAGAGTCAGGGCAGGGAGCCTCTCTCATTTCCACCCACTCCTTGATGCAGATAGCTCGGATAGGGATAAACTTAGGTTAAAATACTCTCACGAGCTCCAGCAAAAGCTGCATCTGACTGAAAACTCAAGGGATGCTGCAGTTTAGGAAAACAAGGGATCTGTAAGACTGCATGCAACATACAGGCAACACATGTACAATCAGTATGAAGATACATAAACGATACGATCGACAAGTCCATAAATACCAACAAAGAAAAATGAATGTAGATTTTCAAGTGAATGTTGAACTGTGAAAGGGGTGTGAGCTGTTGGTTAGCCTACATAATTTAAAATATACTTACAGGACTTCCCACTTCCCCTCCCTTCACAGCCTGCCTGCACAAATGCAGTAATGAGGCTGACGTCTTCTTTTTGGAAAGGTAACAATGCTAAAAATCATTGAGAGGATGTGGTAAGACAAGAGGTGTGTTCTGCATGAAAAGGGTGGGAAAGAAGATAGCAAATGGCTGTACCAGGAAAAAAAAAAAACAAAAGAAAGAAAAAAAAGAAATATTATTTAAAATGAAACGTTGTGAAACACTGAGAATGGGAAGTAATCACAACCATCTCTACGGTCAAGTTACATAAATTAACCAGGAAGTTTTAGAGACTACGGCAATTTTTTAAATGCATCTGAATTATCACACGGTTAATGAAAAAAAGGAGAGTGTGAAATTTTTCTTCACTGTTCTCCTAGCAGTTAGAGAGATTTTTTAGGAAAACTGATTAAATACACAGCTCACATTGGCTTTCCCCAGACGCTCAGCCAACTATAGCTGCAAGCATAATTATCCATATCTAGACTGCACACACCAAATTGAGAGAAAAATGTAAGCTGGTTTCCAGGTAGGTGCTCGATGTACTCAGTGTAGGCTGAGAACACATGCAGACTGCTATCACAGATGAAGTTGGGCTTGTGTCAACAAGCTCACCTGGACACTACGGCAGCAGGCTGCCCAGGGCAATATTTTAATATTTGTTCATCTCTGCTTACCTATTTATTTCCATACCTTTCAGTCCTATCGGGTGAGGCCGCCAACGTCAACTGCTCTGATGCTCTCTAGCTACAATGTCACTGCTGGCAAATGCCACAGCGAGAATCCTAACCTGCAGACATAACCATAACTTAAATGCAAAGTCCATAACTATTTCTTTTAATACAAGCAAAGATGATTGTTTAATTATGAGAAAAAAGGCCATGATTTTGAGAAGAGTGTCATGGTTGTCATTGTATATCAATCCAAATGTCTGCAAAGTGCTTTCGTCATTAACACTGTGAGAAGTAGCAGAACTACACAGTACTCTTTCTCATCCCAATACACCTCACTCCACTGGAAGTTGCTCCCTTTTCATTACAAAAATAGTCCTCACTGGGGTATAGCGAAGTGTGCAAGTCTGCACAGTGTTTTTCCTTGCTTAGTCCTTTCCAGAGCAGCAAAAACAAAGGCACACACTCTTGCACACTGAAGCACCACGCCAACTGTCCTGCCTGACATACCACTGATTTTATCGCTTCATCATTGAATTAAGGTGGCTGCTTTGAAGCTGTAGCCTGAACAAAGTACACTACATAGTAGTCATAGCAGCTGTACTTTGAAATAATATTTTCTTAAAATATAAACATGTCATTAAAAAGCGTGTGCCCTTACGGGAATATACAAGCAGAGACAACGCATGGGAGACCTTCAGCCCAAAAAACATCTCAGTGGAAAATCTGCCTGCTGCCCTCCTACGTACAGCACAGCCTGCATGCTCTTAGACCACAATAAAAGGAGGCCACAGCCCTGCCTTTACCATTCAGTGGATTTAAAGCTGATAAGTTATTATATTTATGGCAGGTAAGGATCAATCTGAGTAACAACAAGAGGATTTTTTTTCCTAGTAAAATAAACAGAACTACCTAGGGGGGCTTACACCCTGGCCCTGATTTTCCGGCTGTGGACAGAAGATAGCAGGTGCACAACCTCCAGCTAAACTATAAATGCCCAGTTTAGAGAGTTTCTGCTGGTTACGCTGCAATGAGCAGGGTCTCTGCAAGGTCTCCACCCCCTCACATGACTTCATTTACTGGCTCCACAGGTTAGTTTTGAGGGAGTGAGATGTGCTAGAGCTGATCTAGTTTTCCCCTTCTGTCCGCAGGAATAACCAGGAAAAGCCACAGGCAGTTCTGGAGGCCAAGACAGCTAGATGAAAAGACAACTTGCTAAGAAGGAAAGGGCCTTGTCTTTGGAAAAATCTTCTCTTTACCTTCTCTCCCTCTGCAAACTCTACTGCTCCTCCCACCCCACCAGTTGCCACAGCAGCTCTCTTCTTTAACTAAATGAGTCTGGAGCTCTCATTGACTTGGAAAGAAAGCCAGTGACTGCAGCATAGAGAACTTTCTCATTAGCTTGCCTGACGAAGTAGGAGTCTGTTTAGTTAGTTGGTGGTTTAATCGACTTTATTTTAATGAATTATCCATGAAGTGGAATACACAGAGGTGTCAAAGTAGTCTGAGATCACCACCATTATCATCAGACGAGCTCGGAAATTAGCTCTGAATGCAGCACTTTGTATGGAGCCTAACAAAACACATAGAAGCACCAGCCAAAGTTAAATCTTCTTCCTCTCTGCAGAGACATTGCCGTACCTGTCTGATGTGGTGATGGGTGCCAGCTCAGCATGCCCATGCACAGGCCTCTTCCACTGGCTTGGAGAGCGAGTGAACCGCTGCAAAGATGCGATTGAAAAGCTCATATTCATGCTTCGTTGTATATGAATTAACTACAAGGAAAATTATAAATTGAGGTTTTTTGATTCAGAAAAGCATTGACCTAGGTGATCTCTGACATCTGCAGCTCAGTTGATCTGCTTAAGAAATACGTGAATTTTTCAACAACAGAAGAATGTTGTAATCCGTTCAAGGGTGGATTTTTTCCTCAAAAATATATCATATAAAACTCTCTTCTGTGAAATATTAAAACTAACAGATTGGAAATATCAAAATTTACAGCATTACTAACATCAGTGTAACATCGTAACAATGTAACAGCATTGCCAAATGCTCTGAAAATCGAGGGGTATGATGCCCGATGCTTTCACCTAAGCCCTGAAACTGTACTGTAGCTGAGTTTGCCAGCTGCTTGGTAACATTTCTTGCAGCACAGAGATTTCCTTGGCAGGACCCTTTGCCTTGAACATACTTTTGACATCTGAGGTAAGTCTGGCAACATTTCTGCTTCTTATTTAATTTTTAAGTAACTATTGCTTTAAAGTTCTAAGCCCGAGTTTCCTGCCCCAAGTAAACCAGAGCGCTTCATTTTTTACTTTCATTTTCCATCTTACAAATCTTGACAGGTTCCCCTCCTGCTTCCCTGTTTAACGGCCAAAGGACCTTTAACAGGAAGATTCGGTTTTCACAAGCACTCAGAATACGTGTGTGCTGATCATTCGTGAGGTAGCTCACGAGACACTGCTTCTTACCAGAGGAAGCCAGATCCTCATCCACAGCCACACTCACCCATTTGACTATTGTGTATGTTCAGGTATATCAAAAGTAAGACCTAGACCAAAAAAATGTACCTTCCCCAGGGCTGGATGTTAGGGCTAAATCCCACAGCTATCTGCCACAGCACTCGTCTCCCTTGTGGCTGAGGGGCAGATTTCAATGCAAAGCACACCAAGCACCCCATGCTTATTTAAACTCATGTCCCTCATTAATCAGTTTTCAATGGAGATTTTGTTTTTAATTAAAAAATCTTAATGAATAATGTCAAAAAGTAACAGCAAAAAGAAGTCTACAGTCAGTTCACTGTATCCAACCAAAACTCCTTGTGGATCATCTGAGTCTGATTCTTCATATCCATGGGGAGTTTCATCAAAAGAAAATGTCAAGAAACAAAACTATTTTTGTTCTCAGTTGCTCTGACAAGATTAACTAAAAGAAGTTAAAAATAAATATATTTCTCAATGATACTATAAGCCATTTGGAGTATTATTCTTTTCTTTTCCCCATGTGTTAATTAGACATTTCAGCTTTTAGGTGACCCTGAGGAGGAGAGAAGGTCATTTAAAAACTAGCTGATGTGTTTCTCCTGATTACACTAGCAGGTCTTATCGCCCAGCAGCAATCTGGATAGAGCAGGCTGGTTTGGTGCAATCTGGAAGGCTGTTGTAATAATTGATAGAACAAAATGCACACGGAAGAGGCTGGTGGCTGTATAAAACTCCCTCAGAGCTCCAGTTACTGCAGAAGTACACTCAAGAAATCAGCATGACCAGCCAGTCTCAAGGAATCCAGCAGCTTCTGCAGGCGGAAAAACGTGCCAAAGACAAACTGGAAGAAGCCAAAAAAAGTAAGTATCTGGACTGGTTTTATTGTATTTTTCTACTATAAACTCTCTAGAAATACAGTCATTCATGGAAAAAAAGCATTATTTCATCTGTACACATAACCCAGCTGCTGCCCCTATTCCTTCTTCTGTACCACTTCCCTCTCACTTATGTTACTATTTTGTCATGACTGTAGTCAGGCATATAACCGAACCTGAAGGTTCGCAGTTTGCTTAACACTCTTTGTGTATGTGCCTGTGTACCTTTTACATTAAACACGGTTTTCTTTGTTATATTCATCCCGTCAACTATCTTTATCCTTGCTTTATCCCAATCCCACTAATGACACTACAGCTTCCCTTAGGTACTCAAACTAGGAGCCTGCACACCTCTGGCTGCCAGCTCTGCAGAGACTCCGGACTCCAAACTCTGTATTTCTCTTTTTTAGGTCTTGTAGAACGTTTTCAGTGTTCCTCTCTGCTTGTGAAAACTAGGAACTTACCTTTTAATCTCAGTTGGTCTTCAAATAAAAAATATGAAAGCAAATGGAGACTTCAGGATAATTATCATTATCATCAGTCACAGTACAATCAGAAGGATTGTCACTACTGTCATCCCTATTAGCCTAACATGGCACATGCAATCAACAAGTGATTAAATGTTCAATTTGAAACAAACTTCTCGTTTGCTGAATGCCTAAATGCGCAGGGTAAAGCAGGTGTAAATACCCAAGAATAATAAATTAAAATAGTTTTATTCTAGTCAGCTATAAGCAAAAAGTAATACCAACAAATACAAAAATGAAGGTAATATCCAAAAAAAATGTTCTAGCTGAATCTGCTAATAATTTAAATAAATAATTGTGTAGGCAGAGCCTTTCCATTATCTCTTTTTCTGACCTTCGCTTTCTGCATTTATCTCCTAATGTTTTAATGCAAAAATACGGTGACCAAATTCTCTGGAAATAGGAATGAACCACATGAGTCACTGAGCTGCATCTGCAAGGGCACATTAATACTGTTTCACAGAGTGATCTTGATTTAGAAGACAGCAGCAGGGAAACTTAATGTCGTCCTACAGGCCTCAACTAAAACACATGAAGATGATGTCATGTGCCAGCAAGAAACTGTGATGAAGAAATATATTTTGTTTTCCAGGGAGAAATAGAAGCCAAATAAAAATAATTTGTGTAGTCTCTACATCCCTTCTACACACAAATCAGCATCACTATGTATTCATTACTTATTAGCAGGACATATTAATTTGCACAGTACATACAGAAAAAAAGTGGAAAGGCAATAAGGCTTCTCTGAGCGCCTAGCTACTGCCTATGTCTTGTAGCCACGGAAAAGGCAAAACCAAAAGCTCACAATAAAAAGTTGCTGCTCCTAGTCTGAAAGCAAGGAATAATTCAGCAGTGATTCAAACCTTACACAGCTAGATGAGGTGCTCTTGGTGGTATTGCTCTTTCCTTCCCACTTAGGATAGGGGCAACATGCTGCTCCCAAGGACAAGAAGCAAGAAAGCATATGACCTGGGCAGGCACCGTCCAGCCCTAAACGGAGAGGAGGAGAGTCTGGTCTGACCACAGACTGCAGAATCAGGCCTGTAGCTACGATAGCTTGATGCTGACTGCCCTTTGTGTTTGGTTTGGCGGGGTTTGGGTTTTTTTTGTTTGTTTGTTTGTTCTTTTAAATAGACAGCTATCAGTGAAGACAGTAAAAATATTTCATTAGTATGAGTTCCTTCTCTATTACTTTCAAAGCTAAACATATTTTCCTCTTTTAGAAAAATTACATAAGCAAAATATATAATCCTGATAAATTCACAAATTGAAATAAAGAAAATTCCATTTAAGCTACAGGAAAAAAAGCTTTTACCAAGATAATCTATATTAAACTCAAAATTACAAGAGATTTTCAGTGAACTTTCAAAAAAAAAAAAAGAGAGAGAGAGCGATTTTGCTTGTAGCATTTCCCCAAATTATGTGAGTTCCATAATAATCATTTTTGTTAGTATAATTGCCTCTGCTGTCATATGCCAAATTGACATTATTATACTGGCAGATGTTTTCCATATTTGTCCTTAACTTCAATACTTTTCATAGCAATGTCACTATGCCACACTAGATACCTAACTACACCAGCATAGCTTAAATAGTGTGGGACAAGGACAAACGGGATTTTTTTCAGTGCCAAATCCTGTTGCGCCAAGTCAGGACAACTTCAAGTCTTTCACCTAGAGAGATTCTGCACGTAGATCAACATGAAGGACTGCACAGATTATCTCTGATTGACTGTAAAAACTAAAATAAAAGGAAACACCTGAAATGCAATCAACCAATATATGCAATATAATTGGTTTACCCTATGCACATAGAATTTGGAAAAACAAGACAGCAACATGCTGCTGCATCTCTGGAAACACCAGCTCAAAGCCAGTTAGTACCAGTTCAAATCAGCAGATTCTGCTTAGAGCCTGGGGATCTAGAGGTCTCGGGTGCAAGTGAAAACAAGGAACTTGTCCAGCCTGTACCTGTGCGTTGCTTTCCCTGTTACACTGTAAATATGACCTCCCTTGCCACTGCAAACAATCTTTGCACAGCACGTCTATATGCATGAGTCAGATTATTCTATTTACATTTAAATATAAGAAGAATGAAAGGTAGATCATTCACAGGACATGACCAGGGCCAGTCACTTTCAAGGAAATGTGATTATCAAAAACTACCCTTACGCAAAACCCTTAGTGTTATTGATAGATACTCATACAGTCCAATCAAAATTGAGCATGAACAGATAATGGGCTCAGTTTTTGCTGACATTTGTGTAACTGTTTGCAATGCAAAATCCACTTTAGATATCTGAAAAATTAACAAATAAATAAAATGCTATTTATAGACAGGAAACCAAGCAAAAATATTGTGATAAAACTCCGTACATGTTGTTTCAAACTTCTTGGTCAATACTCTTTATCCTGGCTTGCAATATCTGTACTGTATCATTGGCTGATGTCAGTTACATCTGACAAATTATTAAGTTTTTTGGTAAATGCACGTACACAAGGCTGAAACTATCGAACTGATTAAAAATGAAACGAAACAGCCTGTGGTCCTCTGTCCTTTTATACACTGCATTATTCTGTCTCTTATTTTTTCTTTAAGCATAACTTAGACCCCAGAAATAAATGAGCATTGTCAGAGCCAAGATGTCAATTCCTGAAAATCCTTTTGGGTAAAACAAGGGAAACAAATGTGTGATGACCACTGGATTTAGCAAAATTTGGTTTCCTATAAGTTTTCATGCCGTGGCTCGATTTCTAGTGCCTAAAAAAATGAAAGCTCAGATTAAAGCTTTCAGGAAATCACGTTAAAAAAAAAAAAAACATTAACCAAAATAAAATATTATAAACAAACCTATATCCTTCACTCTCTCTTGGATAATATCCAGGACACGTTCTGTCTGGTGAAAAAGCTATATATACTGATCAGCTGCTTCTATTGTACTTTTTTTTTTTTAAATAAAGTTAAAAAAAAATAATCCTCTCAAAATAAGCCTTCCAAAAATCCCACTGTGCAAGCAATTTAACACTCTTGAAGACAACTGAAATGGTCCTATTTAAAATAAAAATAGATTAATTTTTGGCAACTTTATTTGTATGACATGATTTCTATAAAGAAATTTAGCCTGGATGACATGTTTGAAAACAGAAAACCAATTTTAGCAAGGCAATTTTTAGAAAGTAAGATAGCGTAGTGTTTGAGCAAATCAGAATGCAACATTTTCAGAAATATTTGGTGTCTGCTATCTTTGTCTTACAAGGTCTAAGAAATCACCAACAGCTGAAAAACTCAAAGTTCTTTTGCATCTCACTAGAGTTAGTTCATTACCATCACAGAAATACCCAGCATTTCCAAATATAACTTTTCCCTGTGCGAATAACGTTTCCCCACTGGTTAGGTAAGACAAACTCTAATACGGGCAGGAACGGGCAGAACCCCCGGTACGCCCTTCGGTGTGAAATTCTCTTCAAAGTTGCAACTTTCTGTACCTCACTTTCCTGACCCTAGAGTAAATTTCTCGTGGTCAGGTTGGTTCACCCATCTGCATACGTTTCTAGCTCGCTTTTTGCGCGATCTTGGCTGAAATTCAACGCTCTGCCACCCTTACGCATGTAAGGTTTGATTTCACCTCGGCTGTGCGGCTGCAGAGAACCTGGCCCATACGATCGGTGGGATTTTGGCAAGGCAATCCTTTATCGTACAACTAAGGTAGCAGACAAGCAGTTAGTAACAGACTGATTAATTAATTTGGATTTGCCTCTAGTGAAACAGCAGGTTAAGCTCCAGTTTCTGCTCAACTTAATCAGGTGCAGCATATGCACTGTCGCATATGTTGGCAGTTGCTGATTCTGTCCACGACGTTGTTGAACTAGCAGTAATTTACTCACAGCTTTTCCACTTAATTAAATAGGAAGCAGCAGGTTCCTGCTGTGCCAGTCCTAAAGGCATCACGGAAAAATGAAATGGCTGCCACCCTATAGCAACACCCTACGTACGGTGCTTACTCCAGTGCACTGTTAAGAACTGACATGTTTGTATATGCATACATGGGGTTTGTTTGCTTCGCTAGCTCCATTGTCAGGGGCAGATGAGCTGGTTTTTTCTACCTCGTTCTATTGTGTGCATTTTAAATGGATTTATTTATCTATCTGGTGGCCAAAATACGCAACATATTTACTACAGATGGCCCCCCAGATGGAATTTGAAATTAAAATCCCACTGATTTTGAAATAATTTGCTACTGAGATCCAGTTCCTCAGCTGGTGAAATTGGCAGAGCTTCATCACAGTCCACTTCCACTGACTTGCATCTTCAGAGAATCACCTCCTGAAGGCATGCGCTACAAAGGGCTGATGAGCTCCAGATTTAGAGATGAGGATAAGGGGAACTTCAAAACATAGACCTAAACCTGGTTCCAAATTTTGTCGTCCACAATGATGTCAGGCTTTTACGTGAATCTGCCAGTTTATGCTTATTGATCCCAAGACTTAATACAGCAATAGAAGCTGATGTAATCAGCTCTTACCAAACAAATACAAACTTTGCAGAGGAACCTGTGAGGTTTTAAACAGCCTCTCTGCCCCTTTATACATAATTATAGCTCCCTGGTGGCATATGGACTCTGATAAATGTAATTAACTACACAAGAAAGCATTCTCCAGGTGAACTGAGATTCAGTAAATCTAACAAGAGCCGCATTGTGTTGCTCCTCCGTGTAGGAAACCTTTACAGAATCTCACCTCACCTCTCCACAGATCCCACAATAAGCACAGCACTGAGTCAAATGGCCCAGAAACCAAGGCTTTAAAAGGAAATTTGCGTGTTAGGCATCCTTCTGCCTCTACTCACCAAACTGCAGATACGGACTTCAGAACGGGCCATCCACCAAACCAACAGTTTACCATTGGATCAGGCATTTCATCCAGGATTTTCCTGAATCACAGATGCATCAAAATCAATGTTTTTTCCTCACAGCATTCAGGTTCACTTTGGTGCCAGGCCCAGGGGAAGCTGATTACTATATGTCACATCTAATAAGACTTCAGAAGTCCAGCACAAGTGGAACCAATCCAGTGTAGCTGCCTGGAGAAAATAAATGAGAAATAGTGATGCCTGTCTTTCTAATTTAGCTGGAGAATGCTCTTTAGGATTTCAGAAGAGGTACTGGTTTTAGCTCTCACGCTTGAATTGAATGATTTTTTTAAAATCTTTCCAAAGTATTCATAAAAATCAACGATGTCAAGCAGGTGGCTACAAAAAATAAATAAATAAAAGGATATTTCATGCTTCATACTAAGATCCCTCTTTCACTTGCCCAGTCTTCATGTCTTCATTGTCTTATTTTTGTGATGTCCTAATTTAAGCAACTAAACAATGTATTTTTTTTCCCCATCAGAGACCTTGCGTCCAGTAAGAGAAAGGAGCAACCTTAACCTCTCCCACTCTAGCTGCACAGCAGAGAGGCACAAAAAAAAAAAAAAAGTCAGCTTTAAATTCCAGAGGTTTACAGCCTCATTAGTTAGAAAGTGGCTTTTTCCTCGCAAAGCAATGTAGATGAGTCCTGTGGAGATCCACGTGACTCCAGCTAGTTCATAGAAAATAGAAAGGCAGAGATGCATCACCATTGGATGGTTATGACACTTTCAGTACTTGCTTCTTGTAAAAACTTAAGCACCACATTTCCATCAAACCTTCTGCTTTCATCTGATACATAACATCCCTGGCAGACCTGACGAATACTATTAATTGTATGTCCAGCCCTGCAATGCCTTACACACGTTTGATTTTTCACAAACCCTTTGTATTTTACCAAAGTAACCATTCTCTGTACATAAAATTCAGCATGGGAACAAGCCTTTGCAGAAGGAAGGCTCTAGCTGCACTAAAGCCTAAAATGCCACCTAACACATCACCCTCCTATTTCAAAAAAAATTTTTTTTTGACTTTACAAACACTTCCATGTTTTCTACACATTAGCAAAGAATACCTTTGACATCCTTTTTCTCTTTATCACTCACTTCTGCATTTACCAAATGTGAGGGGAAAAAGGGGGGGGTGGGGGGGGGGGAAAACAACACAGGGGGAAGGCTGCAACTCAGTTCCTTAGCAGTTAAGATGCATCTTTGCAGTATTTTGGAAATCTGCCAGCTCTAAATAGAATCCAGTTGGTGTGGGATGAAGGGATCTTGGCAACCAATCAATACAGCAAATCTTACAGAATAATGTCTTTTCCAATCAGTGACAACTAAAATCTGTTATCTGGCTGCTACTATTGCTGATGAAGAAAAGATAGATATTTATTTAAACACAAAGCTGCGATAAAAAAAAAAATTAGTTGTGTTATGAGAAAATGTCTAGTTACAAAAGAGATTTCTGTTACTAGCAAAGCAACAAACTTTTCATTTTGATATGTGCTTTCACATAGGGAAGTGGCCTCTGAAGATAGGGTGTTCATGTGACTCGCCTTCAATCAAGGCACGCTACCTACATCACTTTGGCTCTTCTGACAATTCTGTGCAAATAAAACTGCTGTTGCCTTTGCTTCATATGACATTACAATGCCACATAGAGGACCTGGGAAACAGAGATTCATTTTTTAGGATATAGTGATAACTGAATTTTTAGACTGAAACATGGCAAAGAAGAAGCCATAGCAGAGATAGACCACTACCGGTTACAGAGGGAGAAAGAATTTAGGCATAAGCAAACGAACGTAAGTAGGAAACTTGCACCCTTTATCGTAGCGTCAATGTACTCAATGGCGAAACCGATTGCTTCACATGGCATTACTCTGAGGCTTTCACAAACAAACCTGGCCATACTGAGGAAACACACCTATCGCTCAGATAATGCCTGCGCTGCAGAGACTCCAATTCGACTTTTCCACAGGCTTTGAATGCATTTCCATCTTTGGATGGAAATATCACATCTCCCTTAAAGAAAATACTTTCAGATTCTCTTTGTTTAATTTCAGGACTCTTCCTCGTCTTGAAATTGGAAGTTGAAATAAGGTGGATGTTTCTGCAAAAACAAAGATTTAAAATTTGTCTTTTGATTTCTGCTCTACTTTAGCTGACCTTTTTACTGCATGTAACGCTGCATCTTTGATGAACTCAAATCATCAAAACGTTGGGGGTTTTCACTACAGTTTCTTAACAAAAGCGTTCCCGCTGACACTTTCATATCTGAATTGTGGCTCATTTTATGTATTTACACTATCTTGCAGATTTCTCTAGTATTTTCATGAAGGTTCATCACAAACTGTTCTTTTTTTTCCTTGGTGACCTTCCTTTTTCATTTTTTGTTCTTGCTTTTCTCCTTGCTTGTTTTGTGCAAAGCCAAGGGAAACTACATCTGCAACAGCAGCAACAAAACAAAAAAGCCAAAGAGGTCACGTAAGAACTGCATAACAAACCTGTCATTTCAGCCACAATTCATATGAAACATTTTCCAGGAGAGATCATAAGCCTTAGGAGCACACATACACACAAAGTCTCTAATAAATACCGTCAGCCCCCAGACACAATGTCACACAGCAAGGCCAGGCGGATTTGTTTCACACATACAATTTCAGATCTTTACTAATAGAGTAAAAACACCTCTAAAATACATTCATTTTTTCAGTCAAGGTGGACCTCTTGGTTTAAGGTCTAGAACAGCTAAGGAGAAAAAATTTGTTCCTGTGCTTTGGTGCGAACTCAGATTTTCTCTTTGCAAGCAAAATGAGTGCTGCAAGAAAAGGCCGTTGCTTGTTGACCGAGCACTTTACACAGAAAGGGCAGAACATATATTGCTCCTCAAAAGACAGCATGTCATTGCAGCCCTCCTTCACGTTTCCTGACCCCATTACGTCGAACGTTTATCTACCCCAGGCCAACGCCATCGTTACTAACCTGCGCCGGGAAGGCCGGCAGGAGTTCCTGCTAAGCCAGCGCAGAGGGAAGTCTCATACGCAATTCAGTTTGCTGGCTCAGGTGTTCAGACACTAATAGTTTTGATTCCTTGTCACAGTCACGTTTAATGCTATTCCTCCTCGTAGTATGTGCTGTCATATCCATACTGAGGTAAATTTTCTCACCTCGTGAGTTGTTCCACATCAGTCCAGAATGAACGACAAAAGCAAGACAAAATAATTATTAATTTGACGTTAGAGTGGCAGTTAGCAAGATCTGTTTTCAAAACATACGGAACTTAAGCCCAGAGCTAGAGTTAATTCTGCTAGTGGCTGTGGTGTGGATACCCAGATTCAGAGATCAGTGAACGCTGGAGACTGAAGCCTCACTCTGAATTTTGTGGCTTTGAAGGCACCAGCATAAAACCAGCACGGGCCAGATAAGGAACAGACCCTCAAGGTCAGTGGAAATCATAGACTGCGTAAAGCTGTACGGATTTTGACAAGAACAAGATCTTGAAATTCAGAAGCAGAAAAACAGAAAGAAAATAAAAATACGTGGAACTATAAGAGCCAAACTACCTCAAATTATTATATTAGCATGAATCATGCAAGCAGTTTCCCAGGCTACAGAAGCTCTTTTTTAAATTATAACACTTTTCTTGAAAATTGTCAAAAGTACTTAGTAGCTGGATAGCACACAATCATCTGGGAACCCTAGAAAGTTATTTTCCCCAGTGGAAAAACTCAGCTCCATAAATATGGTCTGAACTGTACAATCTTTTCCCCCACGGGGCCCTCCTAACTTGTCTAAAAGCTAATACAAAATACAAACTAAAAATAGTTACCACTGAAAGCTATAATCTTTTCCCAGTATTTACAATTGTATCTCTGTCCTCAATTTCTTCCAAATCAGAAAATGTTTTACATCTGGATTGCAGACAAGCTTCTTACCACATTGCCAGGTGCAGATAAACAGAATTTCAGTGTTGCATTGTGCAAGAATCTTAATTTAGCTGCTTTTCCTTCCTCTAAGGACTATGTTGGAATAAAGTCCCATTAAAAATAAAGCTAGTGACCTCCTCCCTTGTTTCTGGTGGTCATCTAGGTACTCACTAACATCATAGGTTAGCTTGAACTGGCCGTTCACCCAAGGGAAGCGTGGCGGAAACAAGAGAAATATGTTATTTATTCCTCTCACTCCATCAGTATACAGAACTGTCTCCTGATGTGCCCTACACAATTCTTTAGCTAGAAACAAAATTTTCTCTCAATATCGGATGGACTTTCCATCAGGGAGGAATTCAGAGGATGGTGGGGCAGTAGAGGAACAGGACCAAGATCCTGGATTTGGAACGTGTGCATCTGCTTGTAACATAACCTTGCTAAAACGCTCAGCTAGCCTAGAGTCAATTAAATTCTAAGCGAATGTCCTGGTATTAACCGTGCCAGAAGCTGTCTGGTATTTCGCCAGATAAGAAAACGTACCGTTAAAAGACCTTGTCTGAGGCCTGTTGAGGGTTATACATCACTAACTACTGAAGACATTTCAAATACTCTGAAACTCTAATTATGCATTTTCAGAAAGGCTTTCCCATGTTTTGCTCCATAGCCGTGTTCACGTTCATTCTCAGTGAGGCCAAACGAAGCGTACTAGTGATAGAACTTAGTCGACTAGTCATTAAAATAGAAAGTAAATTAAAGTGATTGCTATAAAAGAGAAAACACGTAAAATGTTGTTCCCACAGTGAGCTGGGAAACTTGCATTACATGGAGAGATTCCAGTGCTAATGAGCATGTGGAAGAGTTCCCTTTTAATCCTGTTTATTATGCATGCGGTTTAATCTAGATCCTACCCTTACTGTCAGAAAGCACTGTGAAGTGTCTGCATAATGTTTATACTGGATGATAAAGAGAAATTCTTAGAGGCTGCTTCAAGTACAATGAGCACAGAGTCATATCTAAGCCTTTATTTTGCTTAGAAAACTTTTGCTTTTCAGGTAATGGGCTCCCAAGGTAACCTCTCTGCTAAAATAGAAGAGCAAACAACAGAAACGGTCCGAAACCTCACTAGCAGCTACCACAAGAACATGGAGAGCATGATGAAAAAGCTTTTGAACACAATATATGACATCAACCCTGAAATCCACCCAAATTTCAGATACAAAGTTTAAGATCTGCTGATGTTCTAGGGAAGGGTATTTGTAAGAAGTAGCCTTCTTTCTTGACACCACCAATATTTCCTCCTTTATTGTTGCTGCATGTGTGACAGAGAAGAGCACTAAAGCCCAAAGCCCATAGTTCCACATATATTTTTGATGCTACAAAAATTATTCAAGGTTTCACAAGCATTTGCTGGAACATAGTTGTTTCTTGTCAGTAGCTAAGCCCGTCATTTACATGCGGGTAAGTCAATAACAGCAGAATAAACGATTATTTGACACAAGCAGCTTTTTAGTGGGTGTCATTATTTCTTTTCTTATATAAAATGATCTGCACTAGATGTGCTGTTGAATAAAATCTGTTCATCCCAATCTTTAGTGTATTTAAAGTCATGTAAAATAGAATAATATTACAAAATTTAAAAATAAAGCATTGCTGTTTTGTTTGGAATACGTGGAGCGGTCAGATTATAGACCATACAGGAACTCTGTAGCGTTTGATCAAACAGAATAGACCAAAACATACTTGCAATTTTTGTATGCTAATTTAAAGCAAAATCTAGCTGACTTGTACGGATTTATGAGCAAAAGCTATACTTGAAATTTTGTCCTGTTGGTTAATTATATCACAAGCTTTATATAGCCTTTTGAAGTCTAAAAATGAGAACAGGAGCAATCGTTATTTATGAAATTCTCTTAGTTCAAGGCGCATAGTAACATATCTATCATTATCTGCCCAGTTACACTGAAAGCACAGGAGTCTATGGGCGCCGATCTCTGCAATCGTTACACTACACACTACGTAAATCCTCAAAAAGTTCATGGAAATAAGCCAGTCACGAATCACTTCTGTTACCCTAAGTGACCTCGAGTAGTTTTTCCCCTCCACAATGACATAGATTCCCTTGAATTAAATTCTACTTTACTGAAGTTAAAAATATATATATTCTGGTGCTTTCAAGGTAAAGCCCGTTAAATCTGATGGACTAAGTGGTGTTGTGGCCCACGCCTGCATCACAAACCCCATTAGTGGCTTATCTTCACTACAAAATTGCACTGATTTAGAAAACAAGCTTGAGAAATCTCAACAAGGAGCAAACAATAGCCACAATTTCTGGTCCGCATGGGCACAGACAAATCATTGCAATTTCACAGCAGCTAGTCACAGGCAATCTCATGTTCCAGTGAGGTTTACACAGCTGACATGCTGTCATGTGTAAAATGACCGTAAAGCTGTAGTCAACTTCATGTCAGCAAACATGACTCCTCAAGGCTGTGCCTGATGGTACATAGTCTCAAGGCCCTGACTGCAAGTCTCCTGTGCTTGATTAGATTCCCTGATACACACGACCCAAGGATACCAAAGAAGGGGGGAAGAGACTAGAAATCCTATAGGCATCAGCTGAAAGACTCATTCATTTCAGAGGGCTTGGAATCAAGTCCTGATGGGGTTTGACCTACCGAGGGCATGAGGGAACTCCAGTCCCAACCTAGGCACGCTGGCAATGCCAGGCACCCTCTGCAGCCCACAGCGCCGACAGGTAATTGCCTCCGATTCAGGTCACGGCTGCAATCCCTGTACAGCACTCAGTTGTGAAGCACGTTATTTTCTGTGAACTTAAATGAGCAGTGCAAAACATTTCAACGGCAAACAGCGTAAACTGAAGTGTACTCTGAACTCCACCTCAAGGGAGCATTGTGCACGCAAATGGAGCACTGGGTCGCGGTTACTGACAAATATTCAGATGTTAAAAACTGAAAAAAGTTATTGATTGGCAAACCAATTCCAAATTTGCCCAAGCTGAAGCAGGGACTGTGGTAGAAGAGAGAGTTTCTTTTAATAGTTAAAGCTTTGAGGTAGGGAATGAGTCATTGGATGAAACTTCAAAATAATTAGATAGTCATATTTTCTACTTTTTATGTGATCTAATACTAAAATAACTTCAATGGTTTTAGCAGAGCTTCTCCAAATGCAAATTATTTAACTGAAATCAGGATTGAGACCACAGCATGAAAGATAATGAAATGAATTGCGCAACGTTAGCTCACATGGGGTTTATTTTTCTGATCTCACCTAGCAACTGATCCCCATTCTCTCTGAAGTCAGAAGAAAGCCTTTAACGCATTTCAGTGTGGTTTGAATATAAGAATCAATTGTGCTGCATGTGATGATGGGCGGGGGGACTCCGCAAGGGGAGCAGAGAGCGGTGCAGATTTCAGCAGACCGTGAAAGGTGAAAATCCTTCTTGGGAGACAATCACCAAACGTAACCGCTCCCTACACTACAGCCGAGCACTTGGCCAGTGAGGCTGGAGTCCAGACGGCAGGACCAAATTTTAAAAAACGGATTGTTCGTGTTATGGTAAAAGTTCAGACTGCATCAGGCAGCTCCCTAACGGGGTGCTTACTCGCCTGTTCAGCGGCATTTCAGACTAATCTCTTGAAGCATGCTCTGAGCGTCTATCTGCCGGTTATCAAACCAAAAATGGCCAAGTGTGAAACGATACAGTAAACAAGGACAGGGGAGGGCAAGTACATGTGATGAGCAGTCTATATAAATTGTATGCTTTGGGAATATGCTTGTAAATAAGAGCAACAAACACAACGAATGCTCCCAGCAAGCAAGCAAGCATGAGGCCCAGCACTGGTTCTGACAGTGGATATCACTAGACAGCGAAGAAAGCATCTTCCTGGTACCCGGCCTTCTTCCCTTCTAAATCAGTTAGATTACCATTGAGCAAAACAAGCCCTTCACGTTTAACCAAACAGCGTCTGGATTATGCCTGTAGGGACCCTGAATCCATAACCTGCTCTCCTGCAAAGGCCTGACCCCGAGCACGACTTCCCAGCCCAGCCCCGGTGTCATAGAGGTGGTCGATGCCCGGGGCCAGGGATGCCGCGCTCCCTCGCAGGGTGGAGGACAGGCCCTGCCCTGCTGCCACCGGGAGCCCCTGGTTTGTAGATTGGCCAAATCCTATGCTGACTTGCAAAAGGGGGTTAAAAAGGTCTTTGCTGTCTGGAAAAGAAGAATTGTATTATTGAATAAATTTAAAATCAACAAATTAAAGTGCCTCATTAAAAAAAAAACAAAAAACAAAAAAGCCGGGAAGTGCAAGAACCACTTTGTATAACTCATGACATGGCTTGGGCTGAATTTTCTGTAGCTGGTTTCCCTTAGTGATATCCATTAAGTTACAATCTATAAGGACTTAGTGATGTGATTTCCATTCATGGCTGATAAGGGATGACACCTGAAGCCATGCAGTTAAAATAGAGTATCTGTTAAACCTAAATAATGTAAAACGCACCAGAAATGAAGAATAAACACTATGCTCTGTGTAGAGGCTTTCTACAGACTATCCTGTTAATTAACTTCTGTAGAGCTTAGAAGCCAAGAAGTGAGGAGTCAGAATCAGTTTTAGCCAGTTATACTAATTGTGATGTTAACTGAAATTGGATTCCATTCCTGGTACATAGTTGCATCAATTAAATTTTCCATATTAAAATATATTTGGAAGATTATGTTATCAGTACAACATAAGTCGCTATTGTAAATGATCACACGTAGGACATAAATGTACGAGTGAAGCTCTTTATGGAACAAAATATTTAATTTCCTGACTTAGAAGGTTTCATAGTTCAAGGGACTGTAAGCAATGTCTCCCTATAAAATGGGATGAGATGACCTACTACTGCAGAGCTCAGATACTACAAAAGGAAAGGTGGGAACAGGTTGGCATGACGTATGATCACTCGAGACGTAAACATGCAGATACGTATGTTCACAGAGAGGCTTGCCCCAGAAACGTCCTTAACAACAGACAAAGCAGAAAAGACCTCAATGTGTAAGGATTTATTGAGCATCCCTGCAGCAAGGGGCTGTGCAGAACTGCAGGTGCCCACCCAGGAAGGGGAAGACTGGGGATGACATCTAAATCCAAACCTAATTTTAGACTACTGAGCAATACCTTCAAACATTTGCGATGGCGCGGGCAATTTGCTGTATTTATAGACAGGTTATGCAGTCATCAATTAAGTAACAGTTCTTTTAAAAAAAAGAATGACCCTTTCCTCTATGCTCTGCTTCTTACTTAAGAAAAAAGAGAGAGAGATGACCTTCAACTGGAATGTTCTTCAACTAAAATTATATGAGGGAGAGCTGCACCTTTAGAATATGCATTTGGGGAATTTTTGTTTGCTTTTTTCAAATAATAGTGTCCAGATTAATAAAATGTTATGTAGTACCAATAGAATAACAGCTGGAAAGGTCCAGGTGTTGGTACTCTTTAGATACCTGAGGAAAGGACTCTGGTATGTAAGCGATCTTTAATATCCTTACCATCAATGTTCTCTCTGAAAGGACTCCAGAGTTACAATTTCCCTTGTACTATTTATTCATCAGTAAAGAAGAAAATTTCAAAATGGTTGGAGCTGGGATGAATTCAAATAAGCTACCACAAGTTCAGGTTTTGCCTGGAAATTTCTCCACATCTTTCAGTTCAGTCGAAAATGCTGGAAGAACACTTTTGCTGGGGGCTCTCCACCCAGGCTTCTGCCAGCCTCCACACCTTCAAGGCAAAACTCACAGCAGATGGCCTGCTGTCAGGCCATGACAATATACCTGCAGTAACCACATTACTTTATGTAAATCTGCAGGCTTCTTTTTGCTCTTTCCACCAAAAAGAGCAGACAGCCACTGTTGTAGGAACAAGCAGCAAGACGTAAGAAGGGTACATGACCCTTACAGCAACATGTTCTGGAATGAAAAAATCAGCTTTTCCTTACACTATATTTCTTTGTGAACAAAAAAGCCCTGCCTGCTCACCTGTGCTTCAGATTTGAGACAAACAGTCATAATTTTCTGGATAGCAATAGATCACCAGCTTAGCAGATGAAGAGTTCATCATTTAGGTGATGGGGAACAGATTATTTTAACCTTTATAGGAGGTAACTACTGTCCTTGCATCTGTATCCGATCCTGACCCTCAGCAAAGTACCGATTTTGCATTTCGTCATTTCACCTATTCAGAAAGTGGGCAGCTGCAGTCTGAACCAGGCAAAGACTTGGGGATGACTGCAGCAATTCCAGTCCCATCCCATGGCAGGAACCCCATCACAGTCATGTGTTAATTAATTAGGTTATGTTCTTATTCACATATACAGTGCATATACTCCAATCTAACTTTCTCCAGTTCTTCACAGAAGTAGAGGAAACATCTGTTACACGATACACAAGTGCCATATATTCCTGCCAAGTTCACAGTGGCCTGTCCTTTACAGATTTGATTATTCCTCATGTTATGGTAGTATAAGGCACTTCAAACTCTGAGCCTTCCCTGAGGAATTTTAACGCTTGTCAGAAGTACATGACCGAACCGGTATTACAACAAAACACTTGGAAAATGTTACTTGGGAGTACTGTTAATACACTCTATTGCACTTACAGGACATGACTGCATGTGGAAAATCTGATGACTGGCAACCTTATTAACTTACTGAGATTCCTCGTTGCTTTTATGAAAGATATGCCAC